GCAATATACCTCCCGCAATATACCTCCCGCAATATACCTCCCGCAATATACCTCCCGCAATATACCTCCCGCAATATACCTCCCGCAATATACCTCCCGCAATATGCCTCCTGCAATATACCCTCCACAGCCACAATATACCGCAATATACCCCCCGCAATATACCCTCTGCAGCTGCAACCTACCCTCCGCAATCTACCTCCTGCAATATACCATCCACAGCTGCAATCTACCCTCCGCAGCTGCAATCTTACCATCTGCAATCTACCCTCTGCAATCCACCCCTCAGTCCCCCCATAGAAAACATATGCAGAAGTAAACAAGAGTACCTCAGCAGTACCACCCATTTACTAGTAATCATATGTATCAACTGTCTGTTTAATTCTAGTGTTCTTTGCCCTAAACATGATTTTTGTATTTCTAAAAAATATGCAAGTACTACTCTGCCAGAGCAATTTCAAAGGCAGAGCATATTGCTCCAGTGGTGGTGTTTTAAAGAGGAATACATTGCCTCAGTGCCATTTTAATAAAAAAAACAATTGCCCCGGCGGTGTCATTTTTGAAAAAAAAAAAATACATTGCTCCGGCGGTGCCATTTCGAAAAGTAATACATTGCCCCGGCGGTGCCATTTTAAAAAATAATACATTGTGCCAGCGGTGCCATTTTAAAAAAAATGCATTGCTCCGGCGGTGCCATTTTAAAAAGTAATACATTGTGCCGGCGGTGCCATTTTAAAAAATAATACATTGTGCCAGCGGTGCCATTTTAAAAAGAATACATTGCTCTGGCAGTGCCATTTTAAAAAGTAATACATTGTGCTGGCAGTGCCACCTAAAAAAAATACATTTCTCTGGCAGTGCCAATTTAAAAAATAATACATTGTGCCGGCGGTGAAAAAAATACATTGGTCTTGCGGTGCCTCTTTGAAAAAACTGCACTGCTGCAACAGAGCTTTATTATATATATATATATTGCTCTAGACCTCCAACACAGCTATTCAAAAAGTGTCTCTTATGAAAAGGCAATGTGTTTTTATTGGAAGGTGTTCTGCTGGTGTGTTATATTCAGCTGTATATCTGGGGGGACATGATATGGACAATAGTTAATGAAGACTGCTTGTGTTTCAAAAGAAATTACAGTATCTCATCACCTTGCAGTAGGACTCTCATTGTGATTAATCATTCAGTATATTTTTCAGTTGTAATGGCTCACATTCATGACATTTAACTGATGACTGCAGCCCTATCACTATGTATGATCACCATCTATGTTTACATGGTACGCCGCAACTTGTGCCGCCAGAGGACAGGGTACACCGCAACTCTCCCCGCCGGGCATCAGGACATCTCCGCCGGTGAGACACTACGCCGTCGGTTAAAAGGACAGCCAGCGCATGCTACTTAGTGAGTCCCTGTAAGGATCACGGCCGCACCATCACTAAAGGCACATCATAAGATTCGGGCCGTCCGGCTGGGCCCATGTACACCGCCTGTTGTACGAAACATTGGGGACAGCTGGGAATTTTAAGCTGACACCAACATCATTACATGTGACTTCAATGTAGAACAGCTGTAGAGTGCAGGTTGGGATCGCTCTAATGGCACAGTGTCGCCAGCTTTTATGTGGTGGCCAGCTATCTCGGCCGACGTGGAGTCAGCAAGAAATGCTTGCGAAAATAAGAGGCAAAAGCTCGGATTGAACCCGAGACCTCTCGGACACAGATTTGAACCAACCAGCATAACCACTACGTTATCGTTCCTTAATAAATTGTGATATCAAAGTGACTATGTTATGACAACGATCACAAGGCCTGCCAACAGAGGCAACGGAAACTGGACTTTGAATATTCTCGCTTCCCATCAGACCCTGAATCGCTCTGGTCACACAGTGTCATTAGGGAGATCCCAACGTGGCGACGACAGTGGGATCACATCAGATCGAGCCTCCCTGGGTGTGGTGCCCACATTTTTTTCCAGCTGGTCGGCAAAGGCTGGTGTCAAGCTGGAAACCAAACATGGACAACAGAAAAAAGTCAAATCTGGGGGCAATGTGTTGTACGATTGGCAGTGTAGTATGGTGTTTTGTCACATCCGGCTACTCCATTAGGTAAGGCACAATGTGACTAACATATGTGCAAAAGGACCATAGAAATCTGGCTTACAGTAAGGGATCTTCCCGCCCAGTTGGAATCACCACGCTCTGAGAAAAAATCGCCATCGGAAAAACGCCGCTGTAGATAGATGGTAAGGCAACGATCTAGGAAAGAAAGATTGACGACTCACCAATATTTGAAAGCACCGCGCGTCGACGAGGCCCAACCCGCCGAAAGACAGCCAAAGCCACTTATGCACCATGTTGAAACGATGTCAACCTTCATCCAGTGGCAGTCCTGGCAGATGGTGTGTCACTCCGGCCCCCCTGACGGGAGGGGCCACGCCAACATCCCAATACCTGGGTCGATTACACACCCAGGCAAGGAATGCGGCTACTTTACTACGCTTAGGCTCGAGGCCACCACGCAATAGGAGATGTGACCGTGGCGATATCTGACTTGGTCACTCGCCTAGGCTGCAACGTGTTGAGGGCTTGATCAGCGTTAGTGTTCGAGTTTGAAATGCTGTTAACTTGGCGAGATGGCGTAAATGCTGTTGGGGTTGCGTATCTTTGGGTGTAGGTGGCTGACATAGAGAATTAGCGTGCAATTCTGGCGAGATGGCGTGGTATACATACTGGGCGTGAGCAGTGGCGGGAGTGGGTGACTCGCCTAGGCTGCAACGCGTTGAGGGCTTGAGCGGCGTTAGTTTTCGATTTTGAAACGCTGTTAACTTGGCGATATGGCGTAGATACTGTTGGGATTGCGTATCGTTGGACGTACGTGGCTGACATAGAGAATTAGTAGACCTGGGAGCTGGCGAGATAGCAAGGCGTACCAAGCGTGAGGAGTGGCCACTCGCTCAAGGAGGCGAACATTGCAAAGGCCCGGTAGGAAGATAAAGGTGAAAGGCCGAAGGGGTTTTCTTAGTGGAAGAGGACGATTTAAACAAAGCGGGAGCCAGTCAAGAGAGGTAATGTGGTGGTTTGAGTATAAGCAGTGGATTAGATAGGTCAACAGCATTTATAGCCGCGTGCGTATTTGGTCGAGTGTGTACCAGTTTTGATCGACAAACATACGCCTTGTAACTTGTTGTTGCGTTGGACCAAGCGCAAAATACTGCGTGATAAGTCGCCTGTTGAAAGTGGTAAGAAATCCAATCCATAAATTCTAAACGTCGAGGGCAATAACGTAGGTACAAAACCTGTTTATCCCAACAGCGAACTCTGCTCCAGCTGACCTCCGGCAGCCTCATTGTTCCTTCTTCGAAACGTACGCCGCAATTTCTCCCAAATTTTCTTGAAACTCCACCCGTTAAGCGTCCAAAGCCCATGCTCCCCATCATATATTCGGTCGCTGCGTATCCTATGCTCCGCGTCGACAACTACCAGAATGACGGCGAAGGTGACGGCGAAGGACGCTAGAGTGGTGCTGGCAGTGATCATGAACATGATGATCATTTGCAATTTCGCGGCTTGTTGAACAGAAGAGCCTCCGAGAATGGCACCCGTCATCATTCCGGGGATGGCGATAATTCCGAGTACACTGAGCTGAAAGTGTCAGAAAAAGCGAAACGATACACCTGGGAATCAAGGAACCTCATGCTATTGATTGAAGGCGTTAGGGCCAATCTCAGCGCCTCGATGATAATCGGCCGGCATGCTTCCATCCTGGTAGCACCGAATGCCAAAAATATTTCTACTTTGTCGCGGTTTTCTCTGTAACGCTGGATGAGATTGAAACGTCCAGACGTTGTGGGGGTCTCGCACCTCAGTTCCTTGAGGAGATAGGAAACGGAGACGACAACACCGCTTATTGTGGCACCGCAGAGCATCCCAACGATGGGAACTGTGAAGCAAATTAGATTTTGGGTGAAAGGATACTTCGGGGATGACTTACTGTATTGTATTGTATTGTATTGGAGTCCAGAAGGGGTCTACGGACATTGCGAATTTCGTTCCGAGGATAGAAATGGGGATAGTGGAGCCCAGCATAGCAAATAACACGGCAGGGAACTGGGGAATGAATGAAGGTCTAGATTTTGTTCTTCCAAAACAAATAACACGCACCATATGTTCGAAACGACGCTTTGATTTATTAACAACTAGGCTCGTGGTCAGCTGGGATGAGCTCACGCATCGTCTGATGACTTACCCGTCTCAAATGTCCCCAGAAAATTCAAAATGACTGCCAGAGAACTTCTAAATTCAGCTAAAAAGATCTGTAAATGCGCACTCACATGAAATGAGGGCAACAAGCCAGGGGTTACCCGTCTCGAACACTTTTTGTAGGAGTGTTGCCACAACCGCCAACTGGCCAACACACCTCAAAGCGGCGACCATTAACGACACACCTACTCCAAGGTGACATACTGTCGAGACGCCAACATCGAATACGATGAAAGCCATCGCCATTGCGACGTTCGCCCAGGACAGGTCTGCCTGCCCATGAATAGGCTCCCCGATGCCTCCAACCTGCCAAGTGGTCAGGTTGGTCAGCGCGAACTGTGCTGAGTGCATCGGCTTCTTCCCAGTATCCAGACGACGGCTCTGAAGACGGTATACGAGGAAACAAGTCTGCGTATGTGACCCTCGTAAGAAGCTAAAGTGATCCGAATGACATAATTATCGGAGTTGTATCGGAGGTAGAATTCCAACTGATTCTCCGCTTCGACTGGTAAAGCATTACCATGGGGAAAGTGAAAGACCTGGTTTGCCACTTCCAATGTACGAGGACGGAACTCGACGGGGAATCTTGAAGATATTTCTATGGGGTGGACTCAAGTTTGACTCTCGTTTTACATTCTATATGAAACGAAAGGTATTCTAAGTATTTGCAGGTCATACATGTCTTCTACGAACTCAGTATTCGGGCCTCCGACTTGATGTGGCGCCATACCAAATAGGATTACCGATGAACACCAGGCGCCATATCGAGCGTCGCCAAACCACCAGGAAGGGAACAAACCCAGGGATCCTCCCGACTCTTCACATTATTTGAAGCGGGACTCAAAACGACCCCCTTGTCGCTCGCCGCCAAGAATGTGTCGCTCAAGATGATATCATCATCATGATCTTGAAATTCTCCTTGTGAAGGAGAATCGGATACTGACAAAAATCCCAGAGTTGGGGTTGTTGGCGAGAATAGGCTCTGTGGGAGCTCAATTGTTGCTGATTCGGGGCGGTGAAGGAACTATATATATGTCCGCAGTGAGGCTTACTCATATAATTCGTGGTAGGAAAAACGCACTTGAACGAGTGTCCCAGAATTCGGAGCTCTCTGTGAGTCAACGGAAAGGCTCCCTCGAGAAGGGTCGCCCGCTGTAATCCGATAGGTTCGTCCTATTTTTTCGCCAGGGAGGACAACACCCAGCGAATACTGTTCAATGCCGCTTCCTTCTAGCCCGGCTTTGCGGATATCCGACAGAAGGAGCTTTGTAGGATTAGCGTTGTTGATGGTGTTGACCAAGTTGCCCTCGCAGCTACAATCTTGAGCTACCTTACACCATGGGGTCATAAGAGGAGAGTACCTTGTTATCGTCATGGGCTCGGAGAGTGTTTTCATACCAAGGTAATCCACGCGGGCAGCCTTTCCTAATGAGAGAGCGACTCCAACAGCTCCGGAGCCGTGGATTTTCCCATTATGAAACAGAGTCACTGGCCGTCCGGTGATAAAGGGAGTCGGGGTGCCGATAAGCCCTAGCTGGGAAACGGTCAACGACTGGCAGCATATTTTAAACCTGGAACTCACCTTTGTTGCACTGGGTAAGAGTTGGAGAGTGTTACAAAGCCCTTCTGGCGCGGTATCAGTAAAATAAATCAAAGAGTTGATTGTGTTGGAGCTGTGAGGACTTGTGAGCGATGTCGAAAAGTGGCGAGCAGCGGACGAACGCACTCTACTTTCTGCAAATCTTCCGGAAGAGAGGCAGCCTGCGTACTTCTATCCCAGACATTCTCCCAGTCCACACCTTCTTCGTAATCGCCTTCAGTTATCGTCGATACCCCCTCTTCCTCCTTCTTCCTAAACGAAAACCACCGTCCTACTTGCACCTCCGCCTTTCCAGGAATAACAGACCGAAACGTGGTAGCTGCTGGCGATTCGAATACGCCAAAAGAACACGACAAACGTCGCGTTGAATTCACGCCGTTGAACGGACTTGAAAGGCATCCAACAGATTGTCCCCCATCGCCAATGAAATTCGTCAAACTTTCAACTGACTTGCTGAGGTCCGAAGGTGCCTCGAAGTTAGCGGAAAGGGCGAAGATGAAGGTGTGCCCGTGTCCGCTGTATACCTTGCTGAGTTTGGCAATGTAGCTTTGTAGAGACGATGCGGAGCGGGGAAAGATGGTGCTTAGGTGAAGAGCCGTCATTTGATGCCACGTGAGCGTAGCTTTCTTGTTCGACGACGTTCACCACGGTGGCAGCGACAATCTCATAATGTCTTCTTCGACGCTACGGGGTGTCGATGACTACCCTTCAATGCTCTGGGTTGTGTACGTCGATGTTTTACTAGCCTTCCAGAATCATATTTACCTCCACTACTCGACAGCATTCCTCCGGTGTTACTCCTCTCCGCCTACTTTACGCGCAGGTGGTATGTAGCACGGCGGCTACGGGTTCATGGAATCGGAAAAGGCGGTGAGTATTATTCTATTGACAACAATTTGTATATTGAAGCGGGGAGGGGGTCTCTAGCACCTGGGTTCCAAACCAACGTCCGCCAACTACGCGTTACCCCGGAGATCGCGGCTCGCCTTCGAAGAGGGGAAAAAGTAAGCCCGGAGGAGATCGCTGCTGCCGCTGCGAAAGCGCAAGAAGAGGAGCAGAAAACGCCGTATGTACCCCGAATTATAGAAGAGAGGCATGATAGGCCGAAATTGAACCCCACCCCACCGCCAGCGGAACCTGTGAATGAATGGTTGCCGGAGTCGTTGACGGGGCCGAAGAAGAGGGTGAAGGGGAAGAGAAGATAGAGGCTACTTTGGTTGATTTGTGAGTTGTGAGTTGTGCTAGGTGCTGGAGAGGATTTGCTAACATTTCCTCCCTGAAGTTGTGTTGTTATTCTACCTATTTTAGAGGATTAGGGGCAATGTACAGGAACTGGAACACATGGCGGACGAAAACGCACCCAGCTATAAACTATGCTTGACTGTTTTGACCGGGTGCTTGCGGAAATCTATGCATACTTGGACTGTCTCTTGATGTGTTTACCATCCGAGTTGCTCACAGGTCCAGCAACTTGACCATGCGAGTCTGCCTTTATCAACTTTTCATTCTTATCCAATAACTGATCAACTCGACGTCTTTTCTCCAATGTCGGGAGTTACTTAGGTTAGTCCGCATCAGTATACGCCAAACCATCAGAGTCGCTGGACTTGCGTTCAAAATTTCCCTCTGCCTCTCTTCGTCTGCACTAGTCGGTGTGGCAACTATCCCTCGAGCAATATGCCACGCCAACGTAACTTGTGTAGGCGACACGTTGTGCTTGCGTGCGACGCCAGGATCATTGCGGCCTGCATGCACGAGTTCATTCCTTGTTTCAAGCTAAGCTTGCCTATTGGGCAATAGGCAGTCACGACTATGCCTTTTTTCCTCAATACTTACTCCGCCAGGTTTTTCTGAGCGAGGTTAAGGTGGAGTATGTACGTCACCGTTAATCATTGTTCCTGACATGCTAATAATTTAAAATGGTTCGCCAACTCTACCTGGTTGGTTGGTCGCTGGAATTATCTTGGCCATTGTGAGGAGTTGCTTTCAACCTTTAGCTATAACCTTCCAGCTAAACGCAAAACCCTAGACACCTTTGTGCAAAATTCCCAGTCTCCCCCTCCTCTTGCGCAAACAACCGCATTTGGCGCGATTCCGAGTCATCATGACCCAGGGCGCTCGATGATGTAGAGCATGGGGTATGGGGTGCTCCAATGTTCTGTCCGGTGGCGCGGAGGGTTTCATCACATGCGTCAACTTCTTTCTTGAAGCGGTTGTTTTGTACAGAGCGAGGCGGACTCCGGAGTCAGACAAATTCGCAGAGGTGTCTACGGTTTTGCATCTAGCTGTCAGCGTCTCTCCGAGAAAAAGGTGAGCTGATCTCACGCTTTTGTGAAAAACTGCTAACCACAATAGAGTGCTTCCATTTAGGCCTAGGTCAAGTCTAGGTACTTAGTGTTGAATGTGTATTGTTCGTCGATTCTTAAGGCCTTAAGGACCCATCTGCGTATGTTGGGAATATATTTCCTTCTACTGCGAGTAATTCAGAGGCATGGATGGATGATTTTCTTTACTTGCCTATGATTCATCGGTGCTGTGTCAAAGAAGGCACGAGTCACGTGTAGCGTGTGTTACCAATCTGTGGCTCATCGTTTACTACGGCGTCCACGACTTGTTCCTCAACCACCACCACAACACAAGACCATCCTGAGCATCGTTGCAAACGACGAGCTCCCTTCATTACCTTTTCATTTAATTCTGTTCAGCACCAGCTACTGTACCATATTATCAGCCAATCACCCACTTTTCACCCACTGCTCGTATGGGCCAAAACACCTCAAGGCTTCGTCGTTCTCAACAGAATGAAGTTGCTGCACAACAACAACAGACTGCTACCACCAATGCTGCCGCAGGCGCCAGTACTGATGATACACACTCTGACATTACTGCAACTCCCGTCGAAAACGGCACCACTGCCTCCCAGCGCTCTTCTGCCCGCAGAAGCTTCCTCAACATCCTCAAACCACGAAGCAGGGTTGGCAGTACAGCTACAAACCCAGAAAATGCCAGGAGATCATGGCGACGATGGTCCAAAGCTCCACCTCTAGACTTTACCCCACCACTCCCAGCGTCATCGTCGGCCACTGATGTATCCTCCTCGTCAGCCACAGCCGGACCATCCACTCCTCGTTCTGAGAACGGCAAACAGCCGGAACAACCCGAAGCAAACGATGAATCACAAGAAGAACGAGGGTGGCCGGATGATAGTGCAGAAGCACCATCGGGTTCCAGGCCTGTCGCCGCGGGGGAAGAAGGGATGAATGCGGAGGAGGAGCAGCAGGAGGAAGAGCAAGTGGAGATAGTACCCGAAGAGGTGGAAAGTGTGCATGAAACAGAGGTGCCCACTACGACGGTGACGAATGATGACCCCCCACTGCCGCCTCCGATAGTAGGTCCGACGACAATGACACCTGCGCAGCAGCCCAACACCCCCGCCACACGACAGCAATTCCCACCCCCCGGCACTCTCGTAGTAGTCCAGGGCATCGTGCACACTACCGATGTTGCCCGCACGCCGCCCACACCGTCTCAACCTGCAGAAAACAACAATACCAATCTCGCACCCCCACCCACAACAAACACCGAAAGAAGCTCCAGCAGGACAAGGAACAGGCTCTCGACTCTCCTACGCCCAAGTGCGGCTCCCAGTGACTCCCCGACGCCATCCACTCCAGAATCCGGTATATCGGTCGACACTGCCCTGACCACGCCTGATATGAACGAGCCGGCTGCTGCTGCGGACTCGTCCTCTCTTCCTCCCCCACAGCAACAATCCACAACAGATCCTGAAGCGGATAGGGTACCGACGATTTCGTCTAGTAGTATTGATGTTCTTGGTACGCTGCTGAGGTACGTTTACAAACGATTATACAAAAGCCAGCTAGCATATAACTAACTAATCACTTATCCTTCTTACATACAGCGTGGCAGCAGCAGCCACAGCCGCCTCATTACTCACCGGATCCTCTGAACCCATCCTTTCTTCTGGTCTTGCACCACCAGGAACTGCGCCCGCTACCAACACCAATAACACCTCCCCATCTCTCTCCTCTAGACCCACTTCACCCACCCCAGATGCAGGACTAGGACTAGGGCATGACACACGTGCAGAGCGGATGCGTCAAGCATGGGGAACTATTCGGGAACGACTTGGGCTTAGGCCTACCCCACCTCCATCTACCTCCGACACACCTGCTCCTTCCGCTGGCGATGCTCCACCATCACCATCACCAGCAGCAGTAGTGGTGGAGCAGCAGCAGCAACAGCCGCCTACCCCCACCGTTCCCACGGATACTAGGGAACTGATGTTAGCTGAGATGGCTAGGGCGTTTAATGTGGGGTTGGGGTTGAATGGGTTGGGAGGGGTCGTTCCTGGTGGGGGCGATGCGAATCGTAACAATGCCGGAAATGAGGGAGGAGAAGGAGGAGCGGGGGAAGCACAAGAATTGCCTGCGGAGGGGTCGTTTGAGCGGTTTTTGTTTGATTTGCAGGCTGATTTGAGGACTGCTTTGACGGGTGGTGGGAGTGGTGGTGATGTGCGAGCGGGAGATGATGGGGAGGAAGAGGAGGAGGATGAGGACAGAGATAGGGAGCAGGTGGGCAACGAGATGCCCCCTCTTATCTCTGTATCCTCCGAGTCGTTGGAGTCTGTTGTTTGGGAGACTGCGTCTGGTTCGGGGGCTTTGTCTGGGGATCGGGATGATGATGCGCCACTGCCCACCGCTGCCAACCCAGCTTCCATGTCAGGGACATCTATACGGTTTACTTCGGATACGCCGTTACATCAAGATGATGATGACGATGAGATGCCGCCGCTGCAAGCTGTTTCGGACTCGGAGTCTGAGCCTGATGATGAGGAAGGAGGTGAGCTGTTTCCTTTCCATATATTTGGAACGGATTTAAAATCTGACGTTGGCTTTTGTGAATTCAGATGTCTACGCACGCACACAACCGAACTCGACCTCACCCAACGCGGAACGACCTACCCCAACCACGAACACGAATGCGGACCAACCTCCGCCCACCTCTACCGCCACCACGAGCCCAAGCATGGGATCGGGAAGGATTGACGCGCAGGGAAGGATTAATTGGTGGAGGCTTTATCGGTTCCCGCCTATAGTTTCTCCTCGTGCTGCTGGTGTTGCTGTTGGACATACAGGGTTAGGATTTGGGTCGACCACTGACGCCCAGACGACAAGCACGAGTGCGGATCCTGCGAACAACTCTAATGATACTGAGACGGCCACTTTGGAGAGCAACCAAAACCAACAGCCGAGCAACAACATTGTGGTACCCGTCATCGTTGTGGGTTTACAATCTGTCCGCCCGTTGGCTGGTGGCGAGTATGATGGGAATGAGGATGGCTTTCATGATGGGCATGGGCATGGTGCTCACGGTGAACACACCAATACCGCGAACGCTGTGGATACTTCTGAACCACCACCACCACCATCATTTGCTTCTGGGTCTACTGAGACGGAGAGTGCTGCCGAGGACGAAGATTTTGATGGGTTTGGAAACCAGGATAACGAGCGACCGCATCATCATCACCACCGCGCATCACAAACCACTCCTTCTGCTGCTGGTGGGGCCTCTCGTGAAAATAGACGATCTCGAGGATGGCAATCTCGTGCGGCTGCTGCGATCAGGAACTTGCGACCTGGGAACTCGAGGAGGAATTCGTCGATTGGTGGTCCTGGCAGTGGTGGTCCTGGTGGGAATGGGGAAGGACCGCATGTGGTGATTGGGGGTCCGGGGTCGAGGACGTTTTTGATTTATGTTATTGGTGGTATGTCTTTTCCGTTGTCTTTGTCTCAACCATGAGGTGGTGCTGATGAAGTGGTGTTTTTTTTTTTTTTGAAAGGGTATTACCCCCCTGATCATAGCATCGTCACTGGTGGTCCGGATAATATGGAATCCTTCGAGGCGCTGTTGTATGTCCACTTCCCTCATTTTATTCTGTTTTTGTATGTGCTGATGACGGTGCGTGCATGATTTAGGGAGCTTGCGGACTTGTTGGGTCAAACGAAGCCTCCGACTGCGAGCAAGGAAGATATTGATAATTCGGGTTTGGAGATCATCAAGCCTGAGCAGCTTGTGGCGAGGGAGAAGGAGGGGAGGGTGGCGTCGAATTGCATTGAACGGGTGAGTTTGTGTTGAGCTTATCGACGTCCGCGTTTCTGATCCCTTTCTTTTTTGTATGCAGTGCTTGATTTGTCTTGATGAGTATGATCCTGAAGATGATATCCGTGTCATGACCTGCCGACATGCCTTCCATAAATCTTGCGTTGACAAGTGGTTGCATACTGGTAGAAATAATTGTCCTGCTTGTCGGACGCCGGTATGTTTATCCTTAGTTTTTCTTTTTCTTCAATGTGTTCTCATTACTGTTGTAGGGTGTTTCGACGGATGGGCCATCGCCCATACACTCGCCATTGACTTCAGGCGCTTGATTGCTTTTCTTCGTTTATATTCGTTCCGCATTTCGACTTGCACATTCCCGCCCAATCCATCGATGATCCCTCTCAACGAATTGAACCAACCCTCGCTCCTTACCACTTGTTTTCCCCCTTCCCTTCCCTCTCTCGTCATCGCCATCGTAGTAAGTAATAGTCCCCGAGTCGCAGTTTTTTCATCCATGCATTCATTCTACTCGAAAAACTCCAATGTGTTTTCCACAAAACTAAGACATCCCTTTTTTGTTTCCTACCAGTTATCGTCTCATCGCCCCCCCCTCTTTGTATATCGTAGCACTTGCTATATAGAGTGGACTATAAAGAACAAGATAATTTGCTTTTTTTTTTCTCATGCCATGTTCGAACTTGTATCCACAAGTGCAGATCGAGTATGGACACAGGTACCTTGGGTATGATTATTTCTTATTTCTCTTTTTTTTTCTTGAGACTTGCTCAACTGATCTATTGTCTCTGTCGTCTAGTGTGATTTGTTCTATCAACTGGGGTGGTTGCAGGCAACGCAGCCCAACGCAAAGACAACGTGACAACGCGTATGTTTGGCGACCAGAACTGGTACACACTCGACCAAATACGCACGCCGCTATAAATAACCAGGAGAGCTGTTGAGCAATCTAATCCATTGGTTGTACTCAAACCACCACATCACCTCTCTTGACGGGCTCCCGCCTTGTTTGAATCCTCTTCCTCTACTAATAAAACGCCTTTCGTCTTTCATTTCTATCTTCCCTTCCGGCCTTTGCAATGTTCACCTCCTCGAGTCACTGCGCACGCCTAGTATGTATACCACGCTATCTCGCCAGCATCGCAAGCTAATTCTTTATGTCAGCCACTCGCTCATAACACTATGCGATCTTAACAGATTTACGCCATCTAGCTAACTCAACAGCATCTCAAACGCGAACACTGACGCTGCTCAAGCCCTCAACGCGTTGCAGCCTGGGCGGGTCACCCACTCCAGCCGCTGTTCACGCCTAGTACGCCACGCTATTTTACCAGCTTTGAGGCATGCTCATTCTCTATGTCAGCCACCAACGCCCAACGATACGCAATCCCAACAGTATTTCCGCCATCTCGCCAAGTTAACAGCATTTCAAACTCGAACACCAACGTTGCTCAAGCCCTCGACACGTTGCAGCCTAGGCGAGTCACCCATTCCCGTTGCCAAGTTGGATATCGCCACGGTCACATCTCCTATTGCGTGGTGGCCTCGAGCCTAAGCGTAGTAAAGTAGCCGCATTCCTTGCCTGGGTGTGTAATCGACCCAGGTATTGGGGTGCTGGCGTGGCCCTCCCGTCAGGGGGCCGGAGTGACACACCATCTGCCAGGACTGCCACTGGATGAAGGTTGACATCGTTTCAACATGGTGCATAAGTGGCTTTGTCTGTCTTGCGGCGGGTTGGACCTCGCCAACGCGCGGCGCTTTCAAATAGGGGTAAGTCCAATGTGAATATTCACTTGACTTCGTTGCCTTACCATCTATCTCCAGCGGCGTCTATCCCACGGCGATATTTCTCCTAGCGTCGCGTTCTCGACTTGGCGGGCCCATGCGCTTATTGTAAGTCCTATTCTTATCGCCCTTTTGTCAGCCACCTCACAAGCATCCTTCGGGGCCCCCAGCTCGTTCTTTCACAAGCACGTTACGATTAGCGGGTACCCTTTCATTGGCAGAACAACCAATCGCTGCGCCACACATGTCCTAAAGCATCCTGGATACTGGTGTTATCCGGGTGTGGAAAGTCGCTCCTTCACGGGGGCGTGGGCGGGCAGATGCGTGATTGCACACCTGGATGGTTGTTGGGGGCCTTTTCGAAGGTCTCGGGCATCGTCTCACCGGACGTGGCACCGCTGACAACGGTGAAGCGACGGTTGGTTGCTTCTGCTTTTGAATTAGGTACTTCGCGTTCAGACATTTCGACTCTGGTGAGCAGGTCTTATTTTTCTTAATCTCATTTTTGCAACTCAATTCAGGACTTCAATTCAACCTCCCAGCTTAAAATACAGTAGGCCCTGAGTCAACATTGCATTTGACCCTCCCATTTTCATGTCGAAATTTATAGTCGCAATGTCATGCACACTAGTTCTCTGACATTATTTCTCCGCTCTTTTTATCTTTCTTTTCTACCCATTCATTTGTACTTTTTTCCTTTCTTTCTCTTCGTCTCTTCAATTCCGCCTACAATAGTTCTAGTCATCTTTCACCAATCGCACTCCGCTTGTCATCTCGCGCTCCCCTTTGACGAAAATACTATCATGATCATACACTAGAACTTCAATCTAGAAGAGAATTTTAATCCCGCCCAGCTCTGTTTCCTTGTTTAAATTCTTTACGTCCAGAAGACAGACTTGAATACATTTTTCCTAGAATGCACGATACGATGATTATCCACGCTTGGACTCGAAACTAGATCGTGGATTAGGTATGATGGGTTATGGAAAGGTCAAGGCCGTCGCGTCTAAGGCTGTCCAGTTCCTCTTGTATCTCCGGATTGATAGCGAAGTGAGAGAAACTCATCACATTCACCGATCGGATGCGAGATACAGCCCCTTGTTCAGAGTCCACTCCGACGAAACGCAAATTGCACTGTCGGAATCTGTACACAAGAACATCTCGGAAGAGATGCATGTGTTCAGTGAGTGAAGTGGGTCCGCGGTACGAGAAGTGTTGCAGGTTCGGAAGGAGAATATCTGCATGGGGAGAGTAGAGCCGCTGGAGGAGTTCTTCGCTGAAAAATTGGTCGCCTGAAGACCCTTTGCGGAAGTCCAGGGATAAGACTTTGACCGATGGGATATTTTCGAGAACTTGAGTCAAAAAGCGGTTATTTGAGGGCTTATTTGTGTTATGCAAAGTAAATTTTTCCAAGAGTTTCGAGAAACGAAATGGTTTCACGACTTGGAGGAGGAAGGTCTCTTCAGTCGTGGAGTCACATGGACCGGCGAGGGAGACCTCACGTAAAGAGGGAAATTTGACTTGCTCCAAAAACCAACTCCATTCAAAGTCGAGCCAAGCGAAGTCAAGCTCGAGATATTCCAGACGTTCCAGCACAGAAAATGGCTGATAGAGTAAGTCTATATCCAACAGATCCTCCGACACCTCTGAATCAATTTGTTTGAAGGTGCAGCAAATTATCTGAGGAGCATTGGAAAGAATTAGACGGATCTCGTCCATGGCACAGGGCTCTATAGACAACTCCCGTAATTGATGCCACGGGGCTAGCACATTGGACAAGCAGAAGTCTTTTAGATGAAGGACTGAGAGTTGTGGGGCCATTGATAAATCTAACTTTCGTCCGAATGTTAAATAAACAGTCGCAGCGGTAAGAAGGCGTAGTGAGTTTTCGATACCGGGACTGGCATCAAAACATCGATTTGTAATGTAAGGGTTTGAGAATCGTACTTCTTTCCATTGCGGCGAGACGGATGCAAGTAAAGCTAGAAGTTCAACCGGAGGATGGGAGATCACTGTGTCAAGAGAAATGGAGATGGGATGATTTGCAGTTCTAGAAAGCCAGTCTCGAAGAAGATCGGTTTGAGCCTCGTAGGAAGCTTTTGGTAGGCAGAGACGTATAGTAGTCCAAAGAATTGGGGTCGACCAAACGAAATATCTGAAACTCCGGCAAATTTTGCCTAGAAAAAAAGGAGTTTCCCCGTCGTCAGTTTCCTTGCTGCTAGCTAGCAGGCACACGGTTCTGTGGAATATCTCCGTCTTTATCTCTGCTGGAAGTTGATTGATTGGGGATAGAGAGTTTAATTGTGAGTGCAATCGTCGGCGCTCCTCTTGTTGTTTAAGAAGAACGGCCTGCGTCTGCGCTATTTCCGATTCTAAAGCGGCGATTTGTAGGAGTAAACTTGTCTTTGTCTTGGCATTCTCAGAGTGATCAAGATGTTCTGGCATGTTTCCCGTATCTTCTGTTTCTTGTTAGAATTCTTTCATCAACTCCAGAAAAAAAATGATCTCACCTCTCAATGTGCAACCGCTTCAAGGTGCGTAATGAATGATGATATGGTCGATAACAGAGTGGCCTGTGGGAGAGCGAGTCATGTCGGCTTATGAACAAACACGTGTTGTCGGAGTTTCCATGAACGCGTCGTCAAGCTTCATAATCGTGAACCAAGGTACGACTTCACATGTATCGAAGTCTGTCTAGGAGAGACTATCGTCAAGCCCATCCGACCCAAGAACAGAGCCCAATTGGAGCCCAACGCGAGCCGCCAAAATGCAAAAAAGCGAAAGACCCCTCAACATCTCTAAATGCCATTCTGACCTGACCTTGCGCGCATGTTTTAGGCTCAGAGACTTGACGCTGGATGACGTTGAACCTCCCCGACCTACAATGCCAGCAGCATGTTCCCGATCCTCCTAAAGCGTACCTCAGTGCTCTTACTATACTCTTCCCCTCGAGCTCTTTCATGAAATTCTTCCACAACTCGATCTACGTTCTGACGGATTTCCGACGCGAGTCCCTCTTGACGTGCCCAAGGTCAACTATAAACGACTAGTAATCCTTGCCAAGTTCTGGGAGCTCCGCAAATTATATCGACGACGAACACTGGTCTCATGCTGATCGGCACGTCTTTGAGTCTCATCCGGATTCGTGGCCTTCCCCGCCGTGCTATCCTGCGTTTTTGCTTACTATGATTGATAGAATTTTGGGTGAAGGAACATCGTCAGTTGATCGGAAACCCTCTCGCAACCCTCTCGTGTGGCATTTAGGCACTCTATCTGTGGCTGCATACATCCTTGTCCGGGGCTTCCTGATTTACGCGCTACAAGAGGGCTCAGAGACTTTGATTCCAGTACGCCTTGCCTCTTTTCCTAACATCTATGATCTCACCCAGCCAAAGTCATGAAATACGCCTCATTTTGAGTAAGTTTGACCAACTACTGATAAGAAAGCCAGGAAAATTCGCGCCCTTCGCCTCTTCATTGGCCGGATCCTCTGCACTATAGCTTCCCTCTTTCCCCAAGGCCGCCAGGTGTTCCCGCATCACTACATTTGCCATCCTGTTATCATGTAGTTCTTTGACCTCCTCGTTTCGCCGCTGGATATAGTATGAGACTGGTGCGAATAGTAATAAAAGGTCGAAGAGATGGTTTACACCTTTTGACACCTCAACTCGACAGATTTCGAGAGGGTAGCCATGCTGTATACCGTACACAGATCCGACATCGATATGACGAGGAAATGCACGCCCCACTGCGTGGTTTTCCCATGAATGACACCATAAGCCAAGCATTTACCTTGACCTCTCAAAGAACGCAACCTGCTCCTTCTTCCCCAACCCTCAGAGGATCTTTAAGCAAAGTAGGAGCCGAAAGCGTGAGAGGCCTCCTGGGGATCGCAAGTACGACAGTGAGTAAGTTGGGGGGACAGGTCTTACCCGTCCTAACCTGGATGTGATGATGTGCGTCAGAAACTGGAACAAAGTAAAGGAACATGCGGACGTGCCAATCGCCGTGCGGAAAAACTAAAATGTTCACAGCGTATCTGCGCAAGGAAACCCTCGAAATCAGAGAACAATAGAATGAGGAGAAGCAGTATTTAATACGCTCCCCACCTGTCCGATTCTCACCCTGCCCGCGCTGGCACCCCGCTCCTTCACTTCTTTCTTCAAATGACTGACCACTGCCTTCCCACCCATATCGCCGCACCTACAATTCCGCTGACTGTGCGTACACACGTACAGATGAATTTCCGATTCCTCATGAGGGCGACTCGCATGCAGACCTTCGGCGGGTTCCCTCAACACGGCATCCAGACTGTCCACGTCCCCCAACACAGGGTTTTCGGTTTCCAAACGCCCACCCAAGGTCGAGAACGCAGTGGCTTGTTGGGACACAGTGATCTTCTCCTTCGGACCACGAGAATTTGACAATCCCACCCCACTTCGATGCGCGTAGTTGTAAAGCACACTGCAAGGGCGTCGTCATTTTCGATGGAGATTTGCTAGGTGGTATTGGGGAGTGTTAGGGGATGTACGGTGTGAAGCAACTGTGCGTTATGCCAGTGGGGCTTGTCCGCTGTCAATAGGTCCTGCTCAGATAATACCTCTGGCGCGGTTGTCCTCATTGAACGCATGGACAGCGAGCTTTGTCAAGGGGGTGTCGGGATCATAATCCCGGACCGGGGGCCGGTTGGTTGGTTGGGCCCTCAGGCCGTTAAAAAAAAACTGGAAGCTCCAAAATTTTGGCCAAAAAACAGTATAGACGGGCTTCCTAGTTCATAAATTATATATCATAGATACTAGAAAGCTTCATGGTGGGCTAAATGCCTCAGGATGTGCCAAAAAACACCAACAGGACTCCTTACATAAGACAATGATAACATATGATATTGGATATTGTCGGAGTGAGCATTAATATTCCTCCCTTGTGCAATCGATTGCGTTCCAATACCTAGCAGGCACCGAAATGGAACATACTGAAGCGGTGTGAGATGTTCTGGGCTTCATTGGTACTGATTTCAAGATGATTACTTACAGGTAGCCAAAATCAAAGTTGATGACGAAGGTTACGTCAAATGTCCGGAGTGCGGCGAAAGAAAGAGATGTGGTACGGCAGGGGTAGAGAACATTCTAAAGAATCATCAGGGCACAAAAACCTGCAAGGAAGCGAAGGCTAAGCGTGAGCGAGAGGCAAAGAGGAAGAAAGATGGGTCACTACTCACATTCATGAAACCACATCCGAAACCAGTGCCTAGCACTGTAACAGCAGATCCAGTTGCGCAAGGACAGGCTGGCAGTTCAAAACAGGAATCATCAGCTCACATCGAGGATCCAGAACTTCACGATGAGCCGGAACAGTGTTCGAGATCAACGTTCGTGCGCGAATTGCGGAAGATATCAAGAGTGATCGAAAGAGTGGTGGACGTGCTGCAAGGTCAGACAGTTGATCCTGTAACTCCAAGATCCACGTCAGTGGATCAGTTTCCAGGTGAGCGAAGTTCTTACTTTCGGAAGTGTGGCAACCATTAACGCCTTTAATTATGGTTTATTAGCATCTTCCGATTGAACAAGGGCACACAAACTCACCGAGGGATTCCACAGAACAGGATGTTCACACTGTGACTCATTCTGACACCAACAAGGTTCCTGGGCCGTCCACCTCAAGCTCAGAGATTGTCAGCGAGATAACGTTAGGTCGGCGCGAAAGGCGAAGACGTAAGGTTGTCGACATCGGACGATTGCTTGTGTGGATCCCGAGCAGAGCTGACCGCTGACAACGTGATCCAGTGCAAGAGAGTTGGATGCGAAACTGTGTGGGTAAGTAAACCAACTTTTCGTTCGGATTTCAACGTGAAACTTACTCACATATTCATGTCAAACCATTCTAGTATCACCTCGTTTGTGTTTACATTGAGCAGGTGCCCAAGAATTGGGTCTGCGAAGCATGTTCAACGTCGAGAGGAGGACGAGGAGGGAAGGCTGCGTGGCGGTGACGTCATATTTCCTAAAGTAGACACGTGCCTGATTACGTTGGGTGGTTGGTTCAGCCCAACGTCCCAGTACCAAAAAAATCGACCCTAGGTCTTTTTTTTCAATCCCGACACCCCCTTGAGCTTTGTAGACAGCGGCAAAGTCTCTCATCGATCTCATCGCTGTAAGAGGAGAATCACGTGAGGACTACTCCGATGATTATGTCATTCGCATCGCTTTTCCTTCTCTCTTCTCTTTCCGAGTCTTTCAAGCGTCACATAAGCAGCCTTGTTTCCTTGTATACTGTCCCCAGAGCCGTCGTTTGGATACCAGGAAGAGACCGATGCATTCAGCACAGTTTGCTCTGACCAACCTGACCACTTGGCAGGTCGGTGGCATCGAGGAGCCTATTCATGGGCAGGCAAACTTGTCCTGGGCGAACGTCGCAATGGCGATGACTTTCATCGTATTCAATGTTGGCGTCTCGACAGTATGTCACCTTGGAGTAGGTGTGTCGTTGATGGTCGCCGCTTTGAGGTGTGTTGGCCAGTTAGCCGTTGTGGCAACACTCCTGCAAAAAGTGTTCGAGACGCATAACCCCTGGCTTGTTGCCCTCATTTCATGTGCGTACGCATTTACAGATCTTTTTCGCTGAGTTTTAAAGTTCTCTGGCAGTCATTTTGAATTTTCTGGGGACATTTGAGACGGGCAAGTCTTCAGATGAGGCGTGAGCTCATCGCAGCTAACGACGAGCCTAGTTGTCAATAAATCAAAGCGTCGTTTCAAACATATGGTGCGTACTATTTGTTTTGGAAGAACAAAATAAAGAACTTCATTCACTCCTTAGTTCCCTGCCGTGTTATTTGCTATGCTGGGTTCAACTATCCCCATTTCCATCCTCGGAACGAAATTCGCAATGTCCGTAGATCCCTTCTGGACTCCAATACAATACAGTAAGGTATCCCCGTAGTATTCTTTCACTCAAAACTCAACTTGCTTTATAGTTCCCATCGTTGGAATGCTCTGCGGCGCCACAATAAGCGGTGTTGTCGTCTCCGTTTCCTATCTCCTCAAGGAACTGAGGTGCGAGACCCTTCACAACGTCTAGACTCTTGAATCTCATCCAGCGTTACAGGGAAAACCGAGACAAAGTAGAAATATTTTTGGCATTCGGTGCTACTAGAATGGAAGCCTGCCGGCCGATTATAATCGAGGCGCTGAGATTGGCCCTGACCCCTTCAATCAATAGCATGAGGTTCCTTTCTTCCCAGGTGTATTGTTTCGCTTTTTCTGACACATACTGCTCAGTGTACTCGGAATTATTGCCATTCCCGGAATGATGACGGGCGCCATTCTCGGAGGTTCTTCTGTTCAGCAAGCCGCGAAATTACAAATGATTATCATGTTCATGATCACCGCCAGCACGACTCTAGCGTCATTCTTCGTCACGTTCGCCGTCATTTTCGTAGTTGTCGACGCGGAGCATAGGATACGCAGCGACCGAATTTACGATGGAAAGCACGGGCTTTGGGCGCTTAACGGGTGGAGTTTAAAGAAATTTTGGGAGAGATTGCGGTGTACGTTTCAAAGAAGGAAGAATGAGGCTACCAGAGAGCTGGAGCAGAGTTCCCTGTTGGGATAAACAGGTTTTGTACCTACGTTATTGCCCTTGACGTTTAGAATGTGTGGATTGGATTTCTTACAACTTTCAACAGGAACTTATCACGCAGTATTTTGCGCTTGGTCCTTTGATTGAGGGGACTGCAGACAACGCAATGACAAGGCGTATGTTTGGCGACCAAATTTGGTACACACCCGACCAAATACGCACGCGGCTATAAATGCTGTTGACCCATCTAATCCACTGCTTATACTCAAACCACCACATCATCTCTCTTGACTGGCTCCCGCCTTGATCAAATCGACCTCCTCTACTAAGAAAACCCCTTTGGTATTTCACCTCTATCTTCCCATCGGGCCTTTGCAATGTTCGCCTCCTCGAGCCACTCCTCACGCCTAGTACGCCTTGCTACCTCGCCAGTCTCCGGGCCCACTAATTCTCTATGTCAGCCACCTACGCCCAACGATACGCAATCCCAACAGATTTACGCCATCCCGCCAACTTAACAGCATCTCAAACTCGAACACTACCGCAGCTCAAGCCCCCAACACGTTGCAGACTTGCAGTCTAGGCGAGTCACCCATTCCCGTCGCCAAGTCGGATATCGCCACGGTCACATCTCCTATTGCGTGGTGGCCTCGAGCCTAAGCGTAGTAAAGTAGCCGCATTCCTTGCCTGTGTGTGTAATCGACCCAGGTATTGGGGTGCTGGCGTGGCCCTCCCGTCAGGGGGCCGGAGTGACACACTATCTGCCAGGACTGCCACTGGATGAAGGTTGACATGGTTTCAACATGGTGCTTAAGTGGCTTTGTCTTTCTTGCGGCGGTTTGGACCTCGTCGACGCGCGGTGCTTTCAAATATCGGTGAGTCGCCAACCCTTCTTTCCTACATCGTTGCCTTACCATTAATCTACAGTGGCATTTTTCCGAGGGCGATTTTTACTTCGGGCGTGGCGATTCCAACTATGCGGGCCTATTCCCTTATTGTGAGCTCTATTTCGATCGTCCTTTCGTCAGCCACCTCACAAGCATTCTTCAGGGCCCAGCTAGTCCTTTCACGAGCACGTTACATTTGGCGGTACCCTTTGATTGGCAGCACAACCAATCTCTGCACCACACATGTCCTAAAGCATCCTGGGTACTGGTGTTATCCGGGTGTGGAAAGTCGCTTCTTCATGGAGACGTGGGCAGGCAGATGCGTGATTGCACACCTGGATGATTGCTGGGGGCCTTCTCGAAGGTCTCGGTCATCGTCTCACCGGACGTGGCACCGCTGACAACGGTGAAGCGGCGGTTGGTTGTTTTTGCTCTTGAATCGGGTACTTCGCATGCAGACATTTCGACTCTGGTGAGCACATCTGATTTTTCTTAGTCTCATTTTTGCAACTCAATTCAGGACTTGAAGTCAACCTCCCAGGCTTTAAACGTGTACTCCAAATCAACAGGCTGTGAGTCACCATTGCCTTTGACTCTCCCATTTTCATGTTGAGATTTGTAGTCGCGATGTCATGGGCACTCGTTTTCTTTTATTGTGTCTCCTCTCTTGTACTCCACTCCTTCTTACCACCCATTCATCTGTAGTTTTTTCTTTCTTTCTCTTCGTCTCGTCAATGCCACCTAAAATTGTCCTAACCGCATTCCGCTTGTTATCTCGCGCTCCCTTATGACGAAATACTGTCATGATCATACCTACATTAAAGCTTCAATTTAGGAAAGAATTTCAATGTCACGGAGCTCTGTTTTCTTGTTCATTTTTTTTACGTTCAGAAGGCAGACTTGAATATATGTATTTCCCGAGAATGCACGATGTGGTGTTGAAAAATGAAGGTCTAGATCTGCCAGTACTTGTCTTTTTTTAGTTCAGGGTCCGGTTCTCACATGTATAGGTCACGGCGCTCATCATGATGGGTTGCAATTAAATCAAGGCTGCCAACTCGAGGCCGAGGGATGTGCGTGTCATCCAGAAGCCAACCGTTCTATTCGTTCCCCTCGAGCCCTTCAAATTTCTCCAGATCTAAAAGCGCTCATGAACGGCGTCGCCCCACCAACAAAGCGGCGGAAGACTTCTAACGAAGAGGACGCAAATGGCGTTATATCCCCCATCCAATCGGATATCTGGTTCGACGATGGGAGCGTCATTCTTCAGGCAGAATCTACACAGTTCAGGGTGCACCGCACCATGCTTGCTAGGCATTCCTCAGTCTTTAGGGATATTTTTCACGGGCCTCAGCCGCACGATGAATCTTTGATAGAAGGATGTCCTATTATTCCCCTTTCCGACTCTGCGGAGGATATTCGGTTGGCGCTCATAGCCTTGTACGACGGGTGGGTCCTGATCTCGTGGTGTCTTAAACCGCTAATAAAAATCAAAAGAGGAGGCTATCACGCGCGTCGAGCATTGCGCTTTCCAGTTGTAGCGGCTATGCTGCGTATCGGAAAGAAATATAAGCTCAACCATCTCCATGATGAAGCTATCACTCGATTGCAATCGGAATTTCCAAGCACACTTGAGAATTGGGAAGTGATGTCGCCTGAATACACCCACATCGTTTTGCAGAAAGGGATTCTCTTTGACATTGTCAACCTCGCGACGGAATGTGGGGTCTGGTCAATTTTTCCAGCTGCTTATTACCTATGTGTTCAGGATCTGGTCAGTCAATTCACCCATCCCAAACCCGTTGGTCGTAAACCTTTAGTTTTAGGACCCTCTGTTGTCCGGTGAACAAAGAGATGACGGTACTGTCGCAAGGCTGCCGTTTTCCATTCAAAAAGCTTGTATTCTGGGCCGAGAAAAGATACTGATTGCGCAGGCTGAGCACACGCTGGGGTGGCTGGACGATGAAGAAATCAGTGATCGCTGCGAAAATCCTATGGCGTGCGCCAGAGCTTGCTTGGAAATAAGTCGATGTATCTGGAAGCCAATGCCTGACGTATCTCGGGGCCTCGAAAAATGGTCAGACGTCAAGACCGATGGATTGTGTCGGAGTTGTCGCGAGGATGCGAAAGAAATACATCAGGATGGGAGGCAGAAAATGTGGGAGATGCTTCCATCTTTCTTTGACCTTCCGGACTGGGAAGAGCTTAAGGGTTAGAGTTTTCGTGTTTTATAAACCTAGAACACGCAGCTCGTTTGCGTTGTACACTGTGGAAGCTGTCGGTGCGCGAAAGACCTGTAGTTACAGAAGTAAAATCTTGACAACACGTGTCTGCTGGTCAGACCGTCGTTAGTGCGCAGGTAGAGGCTGGCGGGGAACCGTACTAATGACTGCTTCCATGTTAACGAGTTATATCACAACGGCAATGGAAGATTATTAGGCGGGGAATAACGTTGCCGAACTTTCTTGAGTTGATTGACACTTTTGAATTTGGCCAAATCACAGAGTCCAATGGGTTAACCTTCGAGTCCTGCGACTAACACCACGAGCTAGAACTTAGCCTTCCAAGGGAGAAAGAATCTTCCACCCCAGTCTTAAGTGCGTGAACACCGTTCAGAGCCCGTAAACTATCAGCTTCATAAGGAGATCCTGTTCAGACCAATTAATCAAGAAGGCGGCAGAGGATTCTACTTGAAAGTATACGACTGATTCCCACTCTTCAGCTCACTGTGCGCTTTAGGAGGCGCTGGGAAGTCACCATAGAATGTCCCGCCTATATTACCGTCAGCAAAAAAATCGAGACAAAGCATTCACAGCATACCTTTATTTTGTTTCTTCTGCCTCTTCTTCTTCTTCTTCCTATCCTCTGCATCGGGGTTATCGTCCAATATGTTCGGGACCGCAGAGAAATCAAAGGGAGCTTGTTCCGCATTGGTCTCTGAGACTCCCTTGCTTCCGTCGATAGATGGCGATGGCGAGTCCTCCACCTCCATCTTGGCTTTCCCACCGCCCTTCGCCCGCTTCCGCTTCCGCTGACCGACCATGACAATGGTGTCCTTCTCTTCCACCTTGGTCCGTGCTATCGTCGTCAGGCGCTGTGCTGCAGGAACGTAGGGAATCTCGACCTGCATCCCCGAAGCCGCATGGATGTCGATGTCTTCGACCTGGGTTTCTCCTGTGCTACTTGATGGGGTAGGATCAGCCGCAATCTGTGAGTAGAAGAGGGTGGTCGTTAGCATGTAATCAGCAAGGAACAGCGAAAACTTACGGTAGGCATAGAAGGCACAATGACCATGGTACTGTTGATCCTTGCGACAAGCTGTTTGAATTGAGGGGACTCAGAGTAAGATTGTTTCAGTGACGAAGGCTAGGTGATCATCAGATAAACGAACGCCATTGAGAATGTGGACTGCTCACCCCAGAACCTGGCCTTCCGAGCATATTGCCAAACAAGGCGCTGGTTGACGTTGTGTATGAAGAAGCATGGGATACGCGAGAGGTAGGTATCGTGGAGCCAAAGAGGGAGGACTTGGGAGCCAAGGGAACAGATGTTGACGATGTTGAAGGTTGACCTGCCATGGTGAAAGTGGGTTGAAAGGCGTCCCATATACCTCATGATGCCAAAGGACTTACCCTTCCCCCAGAACGATTGCGACGAGGAAGCCTGTGGAGGCACCGAATCTACGTCCATCTTCTCCTTGCTTGCAGCATCTGGTGCAACAACCTCGCTCCCTGTCTTACTTGGTTCTTCTTCCACCTTCGCAACTTGCTTACCCTCCAATCCCCGTTTTACGCCCTCCCTGATCACCTCTAACAACTCCTTCGCTCTCCTTCTCACAAGGGCTGGCACAGAGGACTTGAAAACACCCAACAGCGCCGCCATATCAGCGGGAGGCTGCTCGGCAAGTTGGAAAAGGTATTGGTTGGGCATCGTGTATCTACACCGCAAAAGGTTAATTTAGGATAGAATGAAACATGATGGACAACGACATACCGCGTGCTTTCGTCCTCTTCTCTCGCCACACGCTCCCTCCAACCGTGAACACGAACATAGACCTCCCTCTGCATGGCACCGATACCCACTCCAGGCCCACCGGCCATAAGAGCCCCTTTATTCCACTTTTTGGCCAGGGTATCCCATCCCCCAGGACCTGATCCGTCCGCAGCATCGTACGGCTCTTTGACATACACCCGCAAAGAGGTCTCCGCAGAACGTGTCAGCACTTGAGTGAGGAGTGCATGCTGTGGTTTTTGAGAGGAGCTCGAGGGTGACGACGACCGAGACCGAGAACGGTCAAGGAGCGCATTGCGGAGGTTGTCGTAGATAAACAGGAGGAAATGTGTATCTGATCGCGCGTAGTCTAGCATTTCCTGGGGCAAAGGTCGTATCCGCCAGTCCGCTAGTTGATATCGTTTGTCTGGGATGTAATCACAGTACATCTCGAGGAGGTTGGCTAGCCCGTGGCGCGGGAAGTCGAGAAGTTTGGATGCATGGAATGTATCGAATAGGTTGACGATGTAGACGTTAAAGTCTTGCTGAAGCCATACTACGTCACTCTCAGCCCCGTGAAGAACCTGCAGATCGTTAGCTGTGTTATTCGACGGATAAGCGAGCGACGCACCTTGACGATCTTAGGATCGGTGAAAATCTCGTTCAGCTGCTCAATCTCATCCCTCAACGCCAACAGGTCCACGATCCAATCGTTTTCCCGATCGCTTATTTGCATCAGGCATAGGAAGCCAGTGTACGAGCGATAGCTGTGGTGCTCAAGGTCCACCGCGATCTCAGTCGCTTTTTTGAGTTTTGCGAGCATGGCTTGCAGTTCATCTGGTGTGGATATCCAGATGGCGCTGGTTTCTTCCAGAGAGGGTGGCTGTTGCGGCGTGCACGACTTGAAAAGATATGGAGGGTAGCTCAGATGGGAGATTTCGTAACGGTAAGGATGATTCCCACTGATCCCAAGATGTAAGTAAGCTAAAGGATACTTGAAAATGATGCTCACACGACACCGTCCGATCCAACGTCGTGATAGACGTGCCCCAGGGGAACCTTTGCGTTGAATTTGTGGGAAATGGTCGGATACCACGGTGCATCGCTGTTGTCGGGTTTCCGTTTGAATTTTACTTGCGGTTTGGGGAGGTGCGATGCATGTTGGAGAGCCGGGTCCAAGTAGCCCCGTGAGGTGTGTTGTTTTGGTTCCTTCTATATATCATGTAGGCTTTACTCGTGGATCTCAGAAAAACGAAACATACCCTGGGCTTTTCTGTCTTTCCTATTGGAGGGTTGATGGCGATGGCGGGAGGTTTGTGCCGACCAAGGAACTCATCCAAGCAGATGTCCTATGAATTGTAAACTTGAGATATGATGAACATGGCAGGTGGCTCACTGTACGTTCCAGTAGTTGGTCCATGGAGTCCACGACAAGGGAATGAAAATTGTCAACAACATCGTCCTGGTTTTGAAGCTTTGCTTTTCCTTTTCCCTTGCTTCTTTGCGACTCGTCCGCGGTAGAAACGAAATTCAATAGCTTGTTCGTTAGCAATAATACGCGTGAGGAGAAGGCATCGACGTCCTTAGCGAAGGCGGGGTCGATGGAGCGGTGGAAGGCGATGTCGACGGGTAATCCTACGGCACTTCGGGTTGCCTTCAGTGCAGAAGCTTGAAGTTGGCTGTTGAAAACATCGAATGAAGACGATTCAACGCCGGACGATGCTTCCATTGTTGCTCGTCGTCGTCGTCGTCGTCGGCGCCGGCGTCGTTGGTGGTGGTGCTTGAAAGAAAATATCGAGCAACACGTGACTGGTCTAGACTCTCACAGATCTCACAGTGACTCTTTGCTTCCTTCATTTTCAAAATCCAAGCTCAACCGCTCACCAAAAAAATACTTGACATTGGTCCGGTACGACACTCACTTTTCTCTTATTGTTTTATTTCTTTGACAACAGGAATGTTGACTCAATGATGAGGGAGATATTTATTCTTCCAAAAAAGGGTGGATGGTAGAATGGATCCGCCTGAAACCGATTATGACAACATTATTATCAACGGAACTATAACTGAGATAGCCACGGATAACGGTTCTCTTGACAGCCATGAGCGTCCAGTTTGTTCTACCTTCCTCCGACAAAGCACGGACCTCCTCTTCAGACTCTTCCGAGTCCCCCACCCCACCACTTCCGGATTCACAAAGCTCTGGGTACTTCGGAGACGCGCTCTACGAATCACCGAATCATTCCGACGACGAAGCTGTGGACGAACCTGATAGTGACGACGGAAAGTCGGACACAGATAAAAGTGATTCCACCCTAGAGGAAGAACATATAGCATGTCAGATAGGACACCCCCTCCAACGCATGCAAAGGTGTGATAGCATCGACTGCGAAATCGCTGGATGCACCGAGAACGATCTGGCGATCCTTGCGAAAGGTGCTGCGTCCTCTTCACACTCCTCACGAACCCACTCGACATCATCCGTGACGTCAGCAAGGTTCTTGGCTGAATTTGTGTGAGTAACCACTTGACTTTCGTGAACTGCCAAGACCGTTAATATTGGCTTTAGAGACTACGATAAGATCGTAGAATTTCTTCTGCAAAGTAAGGTCAATCCTTTCCAACACGCAGGAACTCGAAATTTAGTACGCAAACTTGACCACGCTTGAGCGTCTAGCGTCCCGCTGACCCTCGTCTAGGTTGTGTATGACCCGCTTGAGAATCCTGCACCTATATCCGATGGCTCTCTTGCCCAGCGACTCTTGATCAAATGCCTTCCACGCTCGTCCAAAGAACTCCTCATCCTTCTTGAGATTAACCACCCAGAAATGAGAGAAGACCCGTGGAACGCAGCCCCCCACATCCTCCGCGCAGTTGAGCGCGACGAGGACGTGTACTTGTGCATGGACTCGCTCGTGGAATTTGATCAACCACCAATGCGGACCGTAGCGAACTATATCGACTTTTTTAGACAAATCCTTGAGGTATGTTAAGTGCAGTACGAAGTTGTCTTTGACGTCTTACCCATTCTCTGTCGAGCAGGGGCTCACCTTCCTCCACGAACATCGCATTGCTGGTCTTTCATGCTCCGAGCCATCGTCCTATATGGTCGATCTCAGCAGCGGACGTACCACAACCTCACCATCAACCCCAGCCTCCGAGTTGCACGAAAGTCCGGTCATGTATTTTGACCGAACCGCATTTCCAGTCCGGTACTACTTTGTGAACTTTACCAATGCCCAACGTGTGTCTTCGAGAAAGGATTACTCGTCTTCGCCAGCATCACCCGCCGACGGGAACTCGTTGTTCTCCGATTGCCCATTTAAGAAAGATGTACAGGAATGCGGAACGATGATTGATAACATGCTCATCAACGCTAGTTTCTGAACTCTTACTTTTTAAGCAGTTTACTAATCTTCTCCTAGGTTCCACAAATCGCCCCAAAGATGAAGTCTCTCATCAAGGCCATGACGTTAGGAGGGTTTGCAGCGGACGATGCGCGGAAGCTGTTTGAGGCGCTGTGCCGCACGCTTGACGCACGGGTATTTGAACAAATGCCCGGATCGGAGAGTCCACCGCCTGGTTTACCCGTAAGGGCACAGACAGTTTCCTCTCCCGCTCCACAGGTGGAAAAACGACGCTTGGAAAAATATGCATCGCGGTAGGATATGTTGGGGAGGGCATAGACACTTCTGTTACTTATTTAACAAGGACACAACTACCACATAGGTCGCCACAATAATATTCAATGGTGTGTTTTACATAGTAAGAACGAAATTGCTGAACAGGCAACTTCGTTGAACCTACACATAACACATCTATGGTCACGAAAGAGAAAAGCCACGCTTAGAAAAATACGCGTCGCGGTAGGATATGTTGGGGAGGGCATGACACCTCTGGATACTTCCTTACCTATTTATTTACCAAGGGCACAACTGGCAGGGGTCGCCACAATAATAATAGACGGTGTGTATCAAGTGCCCCCCTCAGGAACAAGTCAGGAAATGTTCCTATAAAGCTATCAAGGGAACCCAATAATTATTCGCCTGTGTAGGAACCAACCCGCGGACTTGAGCCTGCAACTTACCGAGTCCACCCTCGATCCCTCTAACTCGATCCCATCAAAGGAAGCTTCGTTCGTCAGATGCTCCCGCCGACAAGTTTCGTTTCGGAGAGCTGTCAAGCGTCGGCGGCCTGCGGCCAGGAATAGTTAACTAGAAAATTTAATACAATATTTCGCTGGTCACGTGTAAATCATTTGTCACTCGTACACTTTTGTCAGATGTTTCCTTAGTTGCTTTCCGTTTTTCTAATCTAAAAATCACATTGAATAATGTTGTGTTTTGATAGACAACATCTACATAGTTTTTTTATTAGCTTGTTTGGATGGATTATCATGAACGATTTTGCAGGAATAAATAAATGTATGTAAGCCCTAAATTTTAGAAAGTTATCGGTGAAATTATTATGTTCCTGGTTTACACTTTATTTTTCAAATAGAAAAACAAAAATCTTCCTTGAGGTCTACCACTTTGGCAGTGACATACACAACCATATGATTATTTTTTGATAAGATGATTTGATTAAATTAACTGTAGCAATATCAATAAGCGTTTTAGCAAAGCCGTCATGCCGTGAGAACAGCGGCTAATGCCCAAAAGAGGTTGATGCGCCGACTTCTTCTAAGTACTTTGATGCAGCTTTGGAACGCTTCGGGCCCAGCCTCTACGCTTCCTGATTTCATTTGGAGCTTATCGAGTTAGAGTCATCGACTCTCCCCTCGGAACTTACCAAGAGGCGTCAGATCCACCGATCGCGGACGTCGTTCCCACGGAGGGGGGTCCCCCTACCCCCCCCCAAAACGGGATAGCCACGTAAGCAAGGCAATCAAGCAGCAAACTCAGGCAAAAGGCCGTCAACAGGCCATGGTGCCATGTCTGGAACCAAAAAGATGCCCGATTTGGACATAATTCTCAAAGCGGTAGTGCCATCAGACCCTACTTTCCATTTCAGAATTTATGTCTATATCCGGCTTATTGTGAACGAATTAGGCATCTTTTACGTGTGACACCTTGCTTGAGTCACACGATTACTAATACTAATTCTGCATGCTCAACATGTATCTTGCCTGTTACTGCACCAATTTCCATTGTTGAACATGCAAAGTAGCACTAAAAAATAGGTCATTGCAGAGGTACTCATATTGAGGAAGAGCACAAGGCAGGAAATGTCAGGTCACAAACAAAAAATCAAATGGAAGAAACATCTGTATCCCTCCATGGTGTCGTTCTCACCTACTCATGATCCTAATTTTGAAGCTATGGCTCTTTGATTATCAGGAAAGGCCAATTGTAAGAATAATTTCTATAAAATTCATGAGCACCTAGAATTTTTTACCATAAATTAACTAAACAAAGTGGCAGAATGAATTGATAAAAGGAGAAAAATCTAGCAGAGGATTCAACTATGCTGCAGAATTCTTGAACCATTTTTATACATTTATAATGAGAGCATGGGGAATCAACATCACTAATAGCCCTGGGGAAAGAAAATTTGGAGAAAAGTAAATATGTCTGCACTCTCAACAACAGGTATTGCATCAATTTTCTTGGCATCCATGTCCTCAGGCATAGTTATATATATTGAGTAAAACCTCCAAATTTACACCCAGAGGAGCCTTCAGCAGAGAATTTCTCTTATTTCTTTTGACCAAAATGCACAAGGTAAATTTTACAGTGGAAAGCCACTACTAGGATTATCCAGTTCTACTTCAAGAAAAAGGAGGTGCATGGTCTGCTTTGATTCTGCAAGAGAGGATCAGATGTAAGCATGTGCAGGAAGAGGTGGAAGGGAAAAATGTCAATTCTCATGAATTCTTTCCCAATCTATTAGTTTGAGTTATATCCATACTTTCTGGTGTTTATAAATTTCTAAGTGGTGGTGTGAGATTTTTGGTGCATAAAAATGTAAATAGGAGAGTAAGAAGAAGTCAGAGCAAATATATTTTTGAGAAAAGAAATTGCAGCTGGCAGCAATTGAACTGGAGACCTCACCATATATTACCAGTTTCAATCAAATCTTTCCGTTGAGCTAAGTCACTCCTTCAAATAGAATAATTTATGGTGGACAAGTTATGGAGTTTTTGATTTTTGATTCTTTTTAAAATTGGTTCCAGACATGGCACCATGGCCTCTCAACATGCGCTCGTGTGTATGATTTCAAGATTTCCCCTGCTTCGAACTTTCAAGGCATGTACCAATGTTCCCATTCATGATCAATGCATATTCGGGGCGCCATCTCAACTACCATTCGTGATGAGCAAGGAGATTCTCCGCGAAGACGAACAAGGGGGTGTCGGGATTAAAAAAAGAGACCTAGGGTCGATTTTTTTTCTCAGTGGCGGGAGGTTGACCGACCTACTACGTAATCAGGCACCGGTCTATATGGTAATAGTGACATCATCACTGTAGATATTTTCGACATAATTTCCCTCCTGGTGCCGTTTATTCAGGTTTTGGATCCCCCCTGTACCACAGTTTACTGTTGTTCCAAAATCAGGGCATGTTGTGAATCCTTGTGAATATATTTCAATCCTCTTTAGATATAGTTGAGTTCTATATAGGTGTAAAATGGCAGGCTTTCGTTACCTTGCCTTTCAAAGCCAATTTTGAGAGAAATGTTGTTATCACACACCTTGATCATCAATTTTTGGTAAAATAATGAACAACAAGCCGTTTTGAGTGCTTTATATTCTCCTACAAGCTCATTACGTTGTATGGTCCTCCTCAGAACCTGCTCAACCTCATTTTTAGGTGAAGTTTGGGTGATGTCCATTTTTTTTTTTCAGGCCCGACGGCTGGACCTACCTACCAGCCTCTGGTCCGGCATTCGAATCCTGACACCCCCTTGAAGACGAAGGCCGCAAACATCCTCGCCCAAAGTCCTGTTATTGTCTTCTTCAATTGCACTTATTACTCTTCCAATCCCACCTACTTACACTTCGGTTATAGAGCCACTACCTACTTTTAACAACACTTTGGATGTGTTCCACACTCACTCGTCATATCTTTCATTTTCCAAGTCATTTCAAGTAGTAAGTTGGGCTAATTCTAGTGATTCATGTTATCCTGAAGGACACACTGGCCTATATTTATAGAAATACTACCAATCTGTCCAGATTTACCCGTTGAATAAGTACCCAAAAGATTTAGAATAGCGGAGGTGTAATATCCACTTTTTTTCGAGGTTGTAGACAACACTGGAAGCCCATGCCGTAGAAATGCCGTTTTTCGGAAATCACCGATCCTGCTTTGTCATTGTTGAATCTGACGTCCGCCATCGGTGGATCTGACACCTCTTGGAACTTATCATCACTCGGACTTCGATTATTTATGTAATCTCGATTGATTTCGAACTCATTGACGCTCAACACAACATGTACTCAAGATAACCAGATACTACCAACGACCATGGATCCGGACCTCATCACACACTCGAAGATCTGGTTCGACGACGGCAGTGTCGTTATACAAGCTGAGCAAACACAATTTCGTGTACATCGAGGCATGCTATCGCGCCAATCGAGCATCTTTCGTGATATGTTTTCCGTTCCCCAACCACCAGGAGATCAGGAACCGGTCATTGAAGGATGTTCTATCGTTCATGTTTCAGAATCTTCTCAGGATTGGGAGGGCCTCCTAACGTTGATGTATGACAACCTTAGGTTCGCTGACCTTTTTGCCCGAAAAATATGGTTGGCTTATGTTTATGAGGACATTTTTGTAGAGTATATGGGTCAGATGATCCCATGCCCATTTCCCTGATAGCAGTAATGCTCCGTCTTGGGAAGAAGTACGACATGGAGCACTTCTTGAAGGAGGCGGTCACTCGTTTACAATATGAATTTCCCAGAAATCTATCCGACTGGGACTTGATATCTGACCAACCATTTTCCAAACTTGCGCAATCTGGTGACTCGATGTCACTGGATATCATCATTCTCGCTCAGGAAGCCGGAATTCAATCTATCTTGCCCTTGGCATACTTATTTTTCTTCAACAATGGGGACTCAATGGTGCACGATCTTGTGATGGACAGGCGACGTACTTACTCACTCATACATAACAGGAAAAGGTATATTCAACATACGAGATGGAATACGGAACCACGGCCACTGCCCCGCCGGATGTACAAAAAATTCTAGTTCTTGGACGGGAGAAATTGCTTCGAGGCACCGTGTGCAACACCTATGGATGGCTGGCGGATGACAAATTAATTCCACACACCTCTTGCAAGAGACCCAAGTTTTGCGCTGCAACACGACTGAAGCTACTCTTGAAAGTTTGCGTTCCAATTCCTGATGTAAACTTTGCGTTGGCTAGATGGGATAAAGCGCAGCATGCGGCCGACCTCTGTGTAATATGCGCGAAGGAAGCTGAAAGATGCTATAGAATAGGTCGGCAAGTTTTTTGGTCGGAGCTGCCTTCCTGCTTCGGCCTTCCTGATTGGGAAGATCTCACGGATTCGACGACCTAATCCACATATCGACTTGTGAGTTTTTGAACTTCTGATTGTATTTCGTCTAAATACTTGAGAATAGATGTCGTTCATGGATCCCAGTGAAAACCCCGCTGGTTCAAATTGGATGAAATCTGACGAAAGTGAATTGATTCAATCCAAACAGCCGAAATCGGTTGATATTGGTCACAAATTCTTGGCAAAGCGCGCCGCGCCTAAAGATAGATTTACCTTATGATCATGCACACTCATATCTGTCTGTATCGTATTCTCTTCAACAACCCTTCGTGTAAGTAGTGCACATGTGCAACGACTTATGCGAGGTATCCTCTCTGCAAGCTCTCCCACGCCATCATCACGCCATCGCGAACATAAAAGAAAATTTCATGCTTTCCGTTAACGTTATCCCTGCTTCCATCTTCCCCTATGTCTATCGCTCAGTCAAATGACTGCTTCGTTATCTGGCCACCACAAGGAAAGGCCGATCACGCATTCAAATATCCACAATCGTCTAGGCTCACCGAAACACACTGTATGGTACGTCCCATTCCTGCAAATGTTGGGCTCAGGCTAATTTCCGTCTCCCACGACTTCTATCACTAACTCAAATGCCCGCTCCTGTATCTGGCCACCACCCGAGAAAGCTGACCATGCATCCACCAATCATCTGAGGCCACTGATTTCGTCAAATACTGTTTGGTACGTTTTATTTCTGCAAATGTTGAGCTCAGGCTGATGTGCGTATTCTTTGCGCTCTCAGACAACAACGATACATAGCCAAACATCTTCGACCTGAACTCGCTCTGCAACATAAGGAACGCAGGGAGCAGGGGGATAAACGCAGGGAGCGGGGAAATAAACGCAGGAGGGGGGGGGAACGTGATGATGAAGGAATCGAGTTCGGAAGACATGAAGGGAATCAGGGGAACAGTCTATGTTGCACGGCGTGCGTGTGCTGGGGCTGGGGGCTCCAACGCGACTGGTTCAACTATACTATACATACACTGGAATCTGCTTGTATCATACCAAATTGAATGTTAAAAATTGTTTTCTTATCAATTGAACTATCATATCTCAACCGATCCCATTCAATCCAATGATTTTCTACAGCATATTTTATCATAGCTCAACTGATTTCAGCAGGTGAGTTTATGGACTGCTTGTGAACACAAACGATGTGAGCAGATTTAGACAGATTCTCATCTGCTATAGTCCGAACATCTGCTGAAATCGGCTTTTGCCAATTTGAGCGGATCTCAGCCAACCTCAACCGCTGGGGTTTTGACTGGGCATGGATTACGACACTCTCAGTACTTCCTGTATATGGATGATCTTCTCTGACCTTTGTCCGTTACGCATCACGTCTTTCTTTAAACTCGACGATGATATTTGTATCATAGCAATGCAACACATTTCATCTCTGAACCAGTGATGGTATGTATGTACTAGTAGTCGAGCGCTTACCTCTGATTCGCCCTCTTGACACCTTGGCAAGTGCATTGCCACACTTGACACAGTGTCTGAACAAATGCCTGGATCGGAGAATCCACCGCCCGGCACAACCCAAGGGCACAAACAGTTTCCTTCCCCACTAGTGCGTGGAAGTTAGGTTAATTAACTGGAAAATAACCAAGACCAGACCGGACCTAACCGCAAAAAAACCGGACCGCGGTTAGTGGTTAGTCAATTCTGGAAATGAAATAACCGGTTATTTTGCGGTTAACTAACCGTTAAAAAACCGGTTATGACCGGTTACAACCGACCCTATTTTACCCCTTCAAAACGCATCTAAAAGCATGAGAAACGCTAAAAATCTGACAGAGTTATGGTCAAATCTCTAAATTATTGGCTAAAATAGTAGGCTTTCAAGAATATTATTATAAAATTGTCAATTCTTCACCGAATTTAGCGTTCTTGGGCTTGTTTTAAAGCTACGATGCATGGCAATAATGTTTACTGCAAGGAATATGAGAAATATACGCCGTTTTAATCGATTTTCTATTTTTTCGGTCCTAACCGGTTAGTAACTGCAACTAACCGGTTTTCATCGGTTATCTTCGGTCCAGTTAGGTTATTTTGGGTCTGGGAACGAACCCTAACCGGTCTCGGTCTCGGTTAGAGCCCCTGGGCACCCAATAACCTAACCTAACCGGACTTTCAAACACTATTCCCCACTCCACTGGTAGAAAAGCAACGCTTAGAAAAATATGCATCGCGGTAGGACATGTTGGGGAGGGCATGACACTTAGTTACTAACTTGAAGGACACACATAAGTCGCCACAATAATATTCGACGGTGTGTATGAAGTGCCCCGCTGGCTCGGGAACAAGTCGGGAAGTGTTCCTGTATTTGAAAGTTACAAGAAAGTTATCAAGGGAACCCAAAAATTATTCTGCCTCTTCACAATACTGTGTGTGTGTCACTGTGTAGGAACCAACCGTAGTTTTAAGAACGAAATCGGTGAACACACAACGTTGAAGCCCAAAAACAGGCAGGTTTCCGGAAGCTCACGCTATCAAATGGACCCCAAATCCCACATGATTTGACCAAAATATAGGCTCACTGGACACGGCCCAAGAAACAGAAACGAAATTCGCCTTTTCTCCTCATCCCCAGTGATGAAATCTTCACGTTCAATGACAGAATGTTATTTCAAAAAGATTGCTGCCCAGTTGCGCCCTCAAATCCACAAACTTAGAAATTACCTCAAATCCGCTATTTTTCGGACAAGAAGAGCTTTCTGGGGCCAAGACAGGCGAACTTGGGGAAGATTCAAACCCGTACCTCACATCTGACTTCAAATATTTAATCTCAGTTCAGTTACACGCTCGTGTAATATAACCAGATACTACCAACAACCATGGATCCGGACCTCATCACCCGCTCGAAGATCTGGTTTGACGACGGCAGTGTCGTTATACAAGCTGAGCAAACGCAATTTCGTGTTCATCGAAGCATGCTTTCGCGCCATTCGAGCGTCTTTCGAGATATGTTTTCCGTTCCCCAACCACCAGGAGATCAGGAACCGGTCATTGAAGGATGTTCTATCGTTCATGTTTCAGAATCTTCTCTGGATTGGAAGAATCTCCTAACGTTGATGTATGACAACCTTAGGTTCGCTGATCTTTTTGCCGAAAAATGTGGTTGGCTTACGTTTGTGAGGACATTTTTGTAGAGCGTATCGGTCAGATGATCCAATGCCCATTTCCCTGATAGCAGTCATGCTCCGTCTTGGGAAGAAGTATGACATGGAGCACTTCTTGAAGGAGGCGGTCGCTCGTTTACAATATGAATTTCCCAGGAATCTATCCGACTGGGACTCGATATGTGACCAACCATTTCTCAAGATCGCGCCATCGGGTGACTTGGTGCTGCTGGATATCACCATTCTGGCTCGGGAAGCCAGAATTCAATCTATCTTGCCCTTGGCATATTTTCTTTTTTGTCGAGGTGAAGAACAAATGGTGCATGATCTTGCAGTGATGGACAAGCGACATACATCTTACTCACTCATAACAGAAACAAGTATTTTTGATATACGACACTGAATATGGAACCAAGGCCATTGCTCCACCGGATCTACAGAAAATTTTAGTTCTTGGACGGGAGGGAATGCTTCGAGGCATCATGGACAACACCTATGGATGGCTGGCGGATGACAAATGTATTCCACACACCTCTTGCAAGAGACCCACACTTTGCGCTGCAGCACGACTAAAGCTACTCTTAAAAGTTTGCATTCCAATTCCTGACGTAGAGATTGCGTTGGATCAGTGGAATAAAGCGGAGCATGCGACCGACCTCTGCGATACATGCGCGAAGCAGGCTGAAATACGCTATAGAATCGGTCGGCAAGAATTTTGGTCGGAGCTGCCCTCCTACTTCGACCTTGATAATTGGGAACATCTCACCGATTCTCCGACCTGATCCACACATTGACTTGTGAGGTTTAGAATTTCTGATCGTATTTGGTCTAAATATTTAAGAATAGATACCGTTCATGATATATGACTCTCTCAGGACTTCCTGCCAGTGTACTAAACTCGACGATGATATTTGTATCATAGCAACGAATTTCATCTCTGGATCAGTGATGGTATGTACGAGTTGGTTACCTCTACCTCGCCCTCATGACGACTTGAAGTATCACACGATATGTATGCTTTGCGGTTTTTTTGACGCCGACGCAGTTTGCAAAACGGTTGGGGATCTATTTACCGGCCAGAATATTGTTCTCCATACAGAGGAGTTCCTGAGTTCATGTAAGTTTTTTTTCTCCCCATCTTTACGTGAGTAGGGTATTTTGAGACATGAGGTTCAGGGAATGGATGTCAACAAGGAGGGTCAGTATCATCCGGCCCGGAGCTCCTCCAAAGCTTTATTACCCGAACATTTTGGCCGACCTCAAGTCACCCGCCCAAATTTCAGCAAGGAGTAATCTCATCATAACATGGCAACGGTCGCGAAAAACGTAGAGGAAGACCCTCAATCTCCTCCGCCAACGCCAACTCTCACCGCATCCACTGAAGCTCAACGTGATCCGGTCTACGGCTATCATCCCCAAGCACCCTCCCATTCGCCTTTCCATCAATCACCCCAGCGCTCAGGCGTGTTAACTTCGTCCCCCAACGTTTCCCATTCCATTTTTAAAAGTGGGAAGGGGAAGCAGAAAAGGGGCTCGACGAAACAAGCGGGCACAACGTCGAGACGTCGGAGTCGGTTTAGCCCCTCTTTGACCTTGAAGAATTCAGGCAGCACGGCGCGGGACCACCTGGCGTCGGAGCGAACATTTTTGGCGTATGTGCGGACGAGTCTGGCGATGGCGTCGGCGGGCGTTGGTGTGTTTCACTTTTTTCCTTGTGCTTCCTTGCCAATGACGACATGGGCTTGGATAGCTCTTGTTCAGCTGTTTAAAATATCGGAAATATCGAGCACACCAGAGAATAATTTTCAAAGCATCCGAAAGTTTGCGCGTCCATTGGGGGCGACGACGGTGTTGCTTGGGTTGTTTATTTTATTTTTCGGTATGTTCTGAGATTTTTTCTCTTGGGATAATCACGCGCCAATAATTCGATCATAGGCATGGTGCGATATTTTATGGTGCAGGTAGCCCTCCCGAAGGGCCTTTTCCCTGCAGCTCGTTCTTTGGTCGTTGGAATCACGTTTATCCTCGCCGTCCTGATCACCACTACGTTTGGTGTTCTTTTAAGTGAACGAGGATCAAGATGACCTCTTTCTTGGCATTACGCATGGACCCACAAGGCGGCAACGCAATGGTCAAGCAGGTTTCGCGGCCAGTGGTGCACAGGGCACCCCTGCTCTTAGTCTCCCGTAGGCAACTCCCATGATGATGGTGATACCCTGCTCTGCTAGATGTCTTACTGTGTCACAGTCCAGGGTGTGTTGGGCGTGAAGCGCCTCGTCAGTTTCAAACGGAGACAACTTCAAAATCAATACCTTACGGCGGTTGAAGGAATGTTATCCGTCTCGGTGCTCGTCTTCTCAGTGCGTTTTGCGGTCTTGCAAATAAAGATATTACCAAGAAGCCCCATTGTCATTCCCAAAAATGTAACTTTAGATGCTGATGGAATGTAAAATATTCTGGTACTACAGTTCAAAATTCGTTAGTCCTGACCAGGACGGAAGGTCGAAGAGAGATGGCAACTTGTACCACAGGTTGTATCTTCCAGCTTCATGAATTTCCTCCGCCTCCGGAAGGCACAAATAGCACAAGCCGACCACCTCAACATCCAACCACTTCTTGAGGGCTATAGTTGGGTCGGGCCTCGGTCTCCAAATATTTTGTATCATCTTGAGGCAAGCCTTTTCACACGAAGTCGACTCACAATCCTCGCAAATTTTTTCGCCATTTAGCCACTCGTAGGTATCATCAGCTAGCGCAATGATGAGTTTTTCCCGACCGAGCAGACAGGCTTTTTGAGCGACTGGTGGCAGTTGAGCAATGGTCCCATCATCGCGCTCCTGCCCCGATAATATAAGGACCTGCAAGAAAATTTAGCTGGTCGATCACTTCTAGATGTCTAGGTCTGCGTACCACGTTGTCTGCAGCCAAAAAATAAGCTGTCGGAAGAATGGATTGAACCCCACATTCGATAGCAAGACTGATGACATCGAAAAGAAGACCTTTGCGATCGACGATGTGGGTAAAGCGGTCGGGAAGCGTATCCCATTCCTCCAATTGGGTTGGAAATTCGGATGTCAGACGAAGGAGGGCTACATCGCGAAGGTGGTCAAATTCGTATTTCTTTCCCAGACGGAGCAAGGCCGCAATGACTGGGAATGGCAGGGCTTGACGCATGTTATGGCCCCTAGGTCTCTGGTTAGGACTACGAACAAATTCATGAGCGAAAAGGTTTCTGGGCTTACTTGTCGTACAAGGCCGTGAGTATGTGGTGAATATCCTCAGCCGTGTCAGAAAGGTGGACAATGGGGCACCCTTCTATTCCTGCCTCAGCCGCAGGCTGAGGCATGCTGAACATATCCTTGAAAACGGTTGAATGCCTTGCGAGCATGGTGCGGTGCACTCGAAACTGCTTGAGCTCTGCTTGGAGGATGACGCTTCCATCCTCAAACCAGATATCTGATCTGGTAATGGGATTCGGATTCGTTGCCTGTGTGCTGGATGTTCTTCGCCGTTTTGTGGGCGGTGTCGGGTCTGTGGCTGGCACGAGGACACTTGGCGTAAAATATGAGGGCATCGTGCTTCAACGTAGTTATGAAGGAAGTCGTGACAAGCGCGTCAAGTCACGCGTTCAATGTCACGCGTCACGGCTTTGCTCAACCTGCACACGACAACGACGACGACGACGGAGCTACGGGCAGCGCAAGTCTAGGCGCAAGTTGAGAGTGTTTTGAACGCACTTTAATTTTATTTCAGTGCGCACGATGTACATCAAGACCTTGACAATTCAGGGTTTCAAGTCTTGTGATTTTTGTTCACTTTGGAGGCCGTTCAGAGCTGATTTTGTTTCTAGATCGCGATCAAACGCAGATAGAGCCGTTTTCACCTAGACATAATGTCGTAGTTGGGCGTAACGGGTCTGGAAAGAGTAATTTCTTTTCTGGTACGTCTGTTTTGTGTTTTGGGAGTCAATGGTCTCACAGAAAGAAAAAAAGCGATCCGTTTTGTACTATCGGACGCGTATACATCAATATCAGGACCGGAGAGGCAAGCGCTGCTTCACGAAGGTATCTCGACGACAACGACTTTGTCAGCTTATGGTGCGTTTGGGTGGCACTTTGATTCCTGTTTCAAACTCATCAGACATATAGTGGAAATCATATTCGACAACTCTGACAATCGGTTTCCGACGGGGCACGAAGAGGTCATCTTGCGCCGTACTATCGGCGTGAAGAAGGACGACTACAGCTTAGACAGGAAGAGTGCCAGCAAAGCCGACGTCATGAATCTCTTGGAGAGCGCAGGTTTCAGCAAATCGAATCCATACTATATTGTGCCGCAAGGTCGTGTGAGTTCAACAGCTTATCATGCTGTAGTCTGAGCTGACTTTCTGGCAAAGATTACCGCGCTAACGAATGCTAAAGACCACGAACGACTCGCCCTCCTCAAAGAAGTCGCGGGAACGAAGGTCTACGAACAACGACGAGCGGAATCACTTCGAATCATGTCAGAAACTGACGGGAAACGCACAAAGATCAGCGAACTGCTTGACTACATCGAGTCGCGGTTGACCGAGCTAGAGGAGGAGAAGGAAGAGTTGAAAGAGTTCCAAGATAAGGATAAAGAAAGGCGTTGTCTGGAGTACGCATTGTATCAGCGGGAGCTAGAAGAGGTTGGAGAAGCTCTGGTAGAGATTGAAGAAGACCGGCGGACGGAAGTTCATGGTGCGAATGTTCGGCGAGAAAAGTTCAACGAAAGGGAGAAGGAGATCCAAGTACGGCTCTTACTCTCGTCTTTCTTTGACATATCATTCATCACTTTGCAGGATTTGGATCGGGCTATCTCGGAGGCAGAGCATTCCCAGCGAACACTCACCACAACCCGTCGGGAAGCACAGGCGGAGCTTACGGATTTCATCAGGACGCGTACGGAGATCGAGTGTATCATCCAGGATCTCGAGGCTGCCGGTGCCAGTGCCAGCGGGAAACGTGAGCAGCTTGAAGCTGAGCTCGCTCAGGTCCAGCGAAAGGTCGCTGAGAAAGAGGCCGCGCTGGAAGCTCTTTTGCCTGAGTGGGACGAGCAACGGACGACGGAGGCGACAGAGAAACGGAGGCTGGACGAAGCGAACGCCAAGCTTAATGCGCTGTTCGCGAAACAAGGTCGAGCGAGCAAGTTTCGCACCAAGTCAGAGAGAGATGCGTTCCTGAGGCATGAGATTCAAGCCATGAAGGCGTATCAGCAAGGACAGACAACGGCGTTGGAGGGTGCGAGGCTCTCGTTGGAGACGTCACGTCGGTCGCAGGTGGAGATCGAGGCGCAAATACGGGGAGTTCATGAGAAAATAGACGATGGGCGGAAGAGGGTAAAGGACGTGGGAGAGGAGGCCGTTACGTTGAAGGATCAGCTGACAGAGCTGACGGAGAGAAGGAAGGATTTGTGGAGAGAGGATACCAGGTTGGACAGTATGGTTAGTCGTGCTGCTGATGAGTTGAGGACGGCAGAGAGGGCGCTGGCTGGCATGATGGACAAGGTTAGCATTCAGAAAATGTTCAAACTCTCTTGCTTACTATCAATGTAGGACACGGGACAGGGCCTTCGCGCTGTTGACAGCATCACGGAGCGGTATCGTTTGGAGGGTGTTTATGGCCCACTTTACCGCCTTTTCGAGGTTACGGATTCCAAATTCAACATTGCCGTTGAGCTCACTGCGGGGAACAGGTGCGTCTTTTTATCCTACGCTCGATGTTTGCTAACGAACTACTAGCCTTTTTCATGTTGTGGTTGATACTGACGACACGGCGTCCAAAGTCCTCGAAGTGATGCTCAAAGAAAAGACAGGCCGAGTGACCTTCATGCCTCTCAACCGACTCAAACCAAAGAACCCACCAACGCTGAACGCCCAAGATGCCGAACCCCTCATTGATAAGCTCGATTTCGACCCCAAATATGAGAAGGCCTTCCAGCAAGTTTTTGGCAAGACCTGCGTTTGCCGCGACTTGACCATCGCTGCCTCGTACGTCAAGAGCCATGGAATCAACACCATCACTCTGGACGGAGACAAAGTTGACCGCAAGGGTGCGCTGACGGGAGGGTATCACGATGTCCGGCGATCTCGTATTGAGGGTATCAAGAGTGTTGCGAGTTGGCGGGCAAAACTCGAGACTGAGAGCAAGCGCTCACAAGAGGTCAAAGCCTCCATCATGAAACTTGAGCAGGAGATCACGCAGATGAATGGGCGGATTATGCACTTGACTGCGCAACAGAACCAGATTCGAGACTCGAGAGAGCGGTTGATGGATGAGGGAAATGCCATGACAAGGGCGAAGGATAGGACGGTTGGACAGATCTCGAAGCTGGAGGCAGACATGGAGGATCTGGAGACGGAGTTGAGTGGGTTGGAGGCGAAAATCGCGGGGTATTCGGCGGAACTTGCGACGCCACTGACAAATGGGCTGACAAGGGATGAGGAGCAATTGATTGCGAGTTTTGGGAAGGAGGTGGAGAGGCGGAGGAAGGAGATGGCCGAGCTTAGCAAGAAGAAGAACCAGGTTCGTTAGTCTCTCGATGATTCAGGACGTCAGTTCATGTCAGGCTGCAGCTGGAGAGTCGGAAGAACACACTCGAGATTGAGCTAAAGGAGAGGCTCCGACGACAAAGGGAGGAATTGCAAGCAAGACTTGATTCTCTGGGCGAGCCGGATGAAGAGTCTTCGACGGATGATCTCGAAAAGCGGACACGAGAGCTTCGGTCCCTCAACAACTCCATTCAAACATTAGGGAAGAAGGTGCAAGGTTTGTGGTTCTACTCTTACGTTGTTCTCGGAGTTGAACGTGCGGTCCAGCTATGGAAAAGGAAGGGGAAGAGCTGACGGCGCAAATGCAAGAACTCCGAACCTCGCTGGAGAAGGTGCAAACTCAGCAGTCGGAGGACAGCCGCAGCATATCAAAGCAACAAAAGACGACTGAGCGATACCTGGCCAAGCGTCAAATGCTCACAACACGCAAAGACGAGTGTAACAGGAGTATTCGTGATCTCGGGGTTCTTCCGGAGGAGGCGTTTGAAAAGTATATCAACGATAAAGCTGATAGGGTACGCTGTTAGCCTACTGAACCTCTACCTGCTGACCCATCTCTGTAGTTGGTCAAAAAACTGCATACGGTCAATGAAGGTCTCAAGAAGTTCGCACATGTCAACAAGAAGGCATTTGAGCAATATAGCAACTTTACAAAACAACGAGATCAGCTCCTCAAACGTCGTGAAGACCTCGATAAATCTGCGGAATCGATCGAGGAGCTTGTACAGGTCCTTGATCAACGGAAGGACGAAGCTATTGAGCGGACGTTCAAGCAGGTCGCGAAAAACTTTGAGGAGGTGTTTGAGAAGCTTGTGCCTGCCGGTCGTGGACGGCTGATCATTCAAAGGCGGATTGACCAGGTCAGTTGGACGCCTTATGATGTACATTGTATTCTTATTTGCGACATTTGGTTCAGGATGAGGGGATGGAGGAGGATGGTGAGGAAACGCAGCAAAGTACAATTGATAACTATACGGGTGTGTCCATCAAGGTATACTTTTGTCAGTTGAGTGCGAGGCGACCTACTGACTGTTGTCTAGGTGTCGTTCAACTCAAAAGTTGACGAAGGGCTGCGGATACAACAACTTTCGGGAGGACAGAAGTCTTTGGTCGCTCTGGCTACTGGTACGTCTCCTGCTGACCTGCCCTCAGACTGTGGATGCTGACGCCCGTCGCCCAGTCTTTGCCATCCAAAAATGTGATCCTGCCCCCTTTTATCTCTTCGATGAAGTCAGTTCTTGTGCTCCTCCTACCCTTCCTCTTCTGATGCTGGATGTTACTCGTTAGATCGACGCCAATCTGGACGCACAATACCGCACGGCGGTTGCATGTAAGAAACTTTCTCGACTGACTTGCTAATTGAGCCTCCGCTGATGCTTCCTCAGCCATGATTCAATCTCTCGCGTCCACCGCTCAGTTCATCACAACCACTTTCCGTCCAGAGATGCTTGTCACCGCTGACAAGTTTTATGGTGTTCTGTTCAACAACCAGAAAGTTTCGTCGATTCGTGCTATCAAACGGGAGGAAGCTATGGAGTTTGTAGATCAGGTTCGTCACGTATCGTTAATCTTTGACTGGGTGTTGAACATCTGTAATGTAGGAGGCTCAAGCGCAATAAACCCGACCTTGTATTTTCATTCGTCCTCGACCTGCTTTGTAGTTGCTAATATTGTTGTTTTATTGTGATGTACATCGATTCAGTTCTGTCTTGCTCTTGTTGCTCTTTTTATTACTTTAGATTATTCTTCTCTCAGACCCTTGTATCCATGCCTCCTCACTACTCTAAGACGGGAACCCCTACTCGAGGTTCTTGAGCTCGTCCCAAGGAGGTAAGCCAAAAAAAGAGGGTAGCAGCTCCCACATCTTTTCACGACCTGCTTGATGGAGCCTTTCAACCACCGTCAAACAAAAGAGGCATAGTTCGCTGTGGTATACAGAGAGTTTCCTCTTTTCCAGCGCCGCCCTAACTGGATCTATCGAGGATCTGAATGACCATTTAATAAAAGTATTCCTGTGTCCAGAGCATATGCCTTCGTGAGCACAATGCGTAGATATTTTCATATCTTTCATGAGCCATGAAAGTGTGTGAAGCCTCAGTGCTTCATGTATTCGGCGTCGGGCAATAATGCAGATGCCTAGAGCATCATTATCGAGTTTTGCCAGACTCCCATCTTCTCGAGTCATCCCAAGTGCAAAATCCTCCTAAGTAGATAGGTGTCAAAACTGAATCGGGTTGAGTGTTAAGCGCTGGACACACAAGGTAACGTGTACAGGTGAAGTAGGCAAATGGCAGCAGTGTTTGAATGGAGTACTCTCGTGCAATATTCAGAACATCAATCATCGCTGGTGTTGGAGCCTTGAACTTGCGACAATTTGAAATAGTATCTCTCTCCTCCAGGGTTGTTGGGTATCCAGAGGTCAAGCTATGAACGGCTTTGTCCATTAGATAACGGATGTCGTATTTTCTGCCCAGCCGCAGGTAAATCTCCACGATGGGGAAAGGGAGTTGATTGTCCATCCTTCAAAAGAGAAAGTTCGCAAAGGTACAGCAGGGAAAGAGCCTCACACGTACGTATGAAAGTAGAGCGCCCTCAGTACAGCTGGCCCAGCTCTCCCCCACTCAGACATGTCCCCAAAAGGAAATATTGCAAATTATGTGTCCCTTGTACGGATATATCTTCTCATAACAACTTAAATCATATGCCCAAATGGCTCATTGGATAAATGTGCTTCAGAGAACTTACGTAATGGCTGCTGAGAGTCTTGAGGTTGATGGTTCAATCCTCTCTTTGGACACTTTTTATCTTTTACATTTAAAACATACCGGGGGAAATGTCAAAATACTTAGGGCAATGTCAATTGCCCTAAGTATTTTGTTGGTTAGGTTAGGTTAGGTAGGTTCGGGGTTGGGCTAGGTTCAGGGTTAGGCTTAATGGTTAGGGATGGGAATCATTTTCTCCCCGCGCGGTAGCGCGTTCTTGGTTAGGTTAGGAGGTTAGGGTTGGTTAGGGTTAGGATAGGTTAGGTTAGGAGGTTAGGGTGCTCACAGATGCGCTATGTGCATCTGCGAGCGCGACTTAGGGCAATGGCACATTGCCCTAAGTCGTGAGATTGCCATATACGGCAGAGATTACCATATACGGAAGGTGAACACATCACGTGTGTCTGAGTGGGGGAGACGTAGGACACTTCCTCAGTACGGTTTCTACTTCCTCAGCTGAGTCAGGGAGGCGAACAAGGGCACAACCTTCCATTGGGGACTCCTCCGGTGAAGGTTGGGGAATTGAAAACATGTCGGTGAATATCGTGGAATTTTGACAGAGCAATGTTCGGTGGACACGAAATTGTGTGCATTCGGCCTGGAGGACGACACTCCCGTCATCGTACCAAATTGTCGACCGCACAATAACAGAATTTTCATCTATTGAAGGGCTCGATGTTCTCTGTCGCTGATCTGGTGGACAATCGTTAGGCAGAGTAGAGATGGCGTCAAGTAGGTAGGTCAAGCTGATAAAGGCCGCCCAGCGCCAAATGCTTCTGCACGTGACGAAATGATTCATCTCACTCACCCCTTGTCCACTGGTTTTTATTTTGGAACGTCTAGGGGGCGTGGGGTCACGGGTGTGCCCCAGCATGAAGCGTGCGCGTGAAAGCTCGTATTTGTCGCCGTTTTTATGAAACGACGGATGCACAGCAAGGAGACGTTGGGCTGTCTTTGACGGGGAGTCCATGACAAGTTCGTCAACCAGATGGGGATTCGTTCGTCTACGAAAGTTTCTCGTCGCTGGGATCGGGACTTTTTAATCCTGTTGGTGGCTGCGGTAAAACGAGGTATGTTAAGCATGCCGTGAACCGGGACTAGACGCTCGAGATGAGAGTATTGTTCAACTCTATGCAATAGTTCGAATACGCGTCAATAATTTGAGGTTCAAAACAAAAATGTGCAGGAATGATCAAGGAGCGGAGGCACCAACCCCAAAAAAGGGAATATCTCGGCAATCTGCCGGCCACCCAAATTTCACCACGCCAGACGTCTAGCTCATCGTACTCAACACCCGTCGGCCCCTTCCTCAAGCTCAAGGTGAGCCTCTCTCTCTTTACGTCTGGATGGTTGCTGGTGTTGCGTATGGATGATTTTGGAGGGCGTTGGAAGGATGGGTTGGATGGATGGGTTGTGTTGTGGGTGGATGACGCTGGGGTTGGATGGTGGAGACGAGGGGATCTTGTGGCCTTTTTCTGTTCTGGCTTTCTGAAGAACCCATGCTTATGATCATTCGCTTTCTAGACTCTCCCAATGGCCACGACAAAATCCACCAAGGGCAAAGCGGCTGCCAAGAGTCTGTTTTTCTCTCTGAACGACGTACACCTTCTGTGCTTACGCTTTGTTATGCTATAGGCTCACCAAAAGACAACAAAGCGAAAGCCGCGAAAAAGGCTGCGCTGCAGGGCGCGCATGGGCACTCGTCGCGCAAGACACGGTACTCTGTGTCGTTCCACCGCCCCAAGACCCTTCGTCTCCCTAGGGACCCCAAGTACCCACGTAAGAGCATCCCGCATGCGCCTAGGATGGATCAGTTTAGGACTATTGTTTCGTGAGTGTCCGTTTTTTTTGTGTGCATTGGGCTGTGGTGTGTGGGCGATTTGATCTTTTGGCTTGCCCCGTATTGTCGTGCTTGGATGTATCTCTCTGGATGATGGGAAGGCTGATGCTGTTTGTACTAGACCCCTCAACACGGAATCTGCGATGAAGAAGATCGAAGAGCACAACACCCTCGTGTTCATCGTTGATATCAAGTCGAACAAGCGTCAGATTAAGGATGCTGTTAAGAAGTTGTACGATGTCCAAGCTGCCAAGGTGAACACCCTCATCAGGTCTGTACATTTTTTTCTGTTCCTCAGTCGTCGGGGCGCCCGCTAATGTGTGGATGTGATGCAGACCGGATGGTAAAAAGAAGGCGTACGTCCGTTTGACAGCCGATCATGATGCACTGGACGTCGCCAATAAGGTGAAAGATTTCTGATAGATGTGTTTTGGGTGGTACTTGATATTGATGGACGGATTTAGATCGGCTTCATCTAGTTGTGCAAAGAGAAAGGGTGTTGATTTTCGAATACTACTACTACATACTTTTACCCGCCCTGTACCTATGCGCACATCATGATCATGCCAATGCCATGTATGCCATGCCATTTGTCCTGTTGCTTTGAATATCATGCGTGGAAACGAACGGTCAGGTGAGGAACAATTCGAACGCCTGGACCTTGTGCAGCCTTGTGCATGTGCTTGGCTGTAAAAAAAAATATTGTTGTATTCTGCCTCTTGTTGGGATGACTTTTCGAGTACATACGAGGGGTGCTTAGTGCCTGGCGTTCCTGTAGAGTTGTAATTGGAATACATAAGTAGGATGAATGGCGGCGATTTACCTCGAATCTATGAATGGAGTCCTTGGTTGAACGGACAACGCCGGCTGATTTTGATGTGGAGGCAACTGATGCCGCGTTTCTTTCTTTATCCCATTTCCTTCTTCTTTTTCGTTCGTCGCCCACAGCCTCCCCCCTTTTTTCTTCGACGCCGCCTTCAACGACGACGACGACGACTACGGCCAACGACACTTAGCTGCAATTCTCTGCAGCACTCACACGCTCCTTCGCCCTGGCAGCTTATAGACCTGCCGTCCTTGCTCAACCAGCACTTCTCCTCCTTCACATCAAATGAGATTTCCTCTTTATTTTTTCTTTCTCTCCTCGGCTGTCATAGCGAGCCATTCGGCCCCTGCGGGCTCTCATGCGAGAAGAGCGCTTAGACTGCGCGATGTTGTGGGTGGTGCTGTCGATGCGGTTGGTGGTGTGGTAGATGCTGTTGTCGGTGAGTCTTTTTTTTGTTGGTGTTGATCTTTCGAGACGGTGGATGCTCATGCGGGGATGGTTAGGTGGTGGGAGTTCGACGTCTCCGAGCTCTACACCGGACGCTGGGTCCGCAGCACCATCGGGCTCCTCCGCTACATCATCGGGCGACCCTAGCGCAATCACACCAGCTCCGAATGCGACTCCCGATGGTAATGGAGGCGTGCTTTCGAGCGTGGTTTCCGGTGCTGGCAGCGTTCTCAGCGATGCTGGGAGTGTCGTTAGTGGCGTCGGTAGTGCGGTCTCCAGTGCTGCGTCGGATGTAAACAGCGCTGCTAGCAGCGCAGTCTCCGCCGTCACCAGTCTGCTTCCGCCCACATCCGTTGATACGAGCTTGACAAGTTCGACTCCTGATGCCGGGTCGTCGAGCGCAAGTTCAACGTCCGACACGGCAACATCTTCTGCCCCAACATCTGACGCGGCAACATCCTCTACTTTAACATCTGACACGCCGACGTCCGTTCCACCAACCTCTACCTCTGCATCCTCCTCGGGGGACATACTCAGTAGTGTCCTTGGTATCACTAGCGTCCTCGCTCCACCCACTACTACCTCTTCTGCACCACCAGACACCGTAGCCTCTACTTCTGCATCCTCCGCGGGGGACATACTCAGTAGTATCATCACTAGTGTCCTCCCTCCACCCACCACTACCTCTTCTGCACCACCAGACACCATAACCGCTATCCCCTCTTCGGCACCTCCCGCCACCACCACCACGGACGGTAATGTTCTCAGCAGCATCGTTTCTCAGGTCAGCAGCGCTCTCAGCAGCATCGTTTCCCAGGCCACAAGCATCCTGCCACCAGTGTCAACGGATCTGCCGTCCTCGATACCCACTTCTGTTCCACCTATCACTTCCGATGTCCCGCCCATCACTTCTGAAGTGCCATCATCCATACCCTCTTCTGTTCCGCCCCTTTCGGACGCGCCTTCCAGCGCTCCTTCAGGGTTACCATCTTCGGTCGTCTCTGACCTTTCTAGCGTCGCCAGCTCTGTGCAGCCTTCGATTGTGTTCCCCACTAGCATCGTCAGTTCCACTGCCAGCGATTCTGCTGTCCCGACCAGCGTCGACTCTGATTCTGCATCCTCAGCTGCCTCCGCTAGCACCACCATCTCCGTGGCTGCTGAATTCTCATTCATTCTTACTGAATCGTCTCTTGCCTTCACCTCTATTGCCACACCGACGTCCCAGCCAACGCTCACTGATCCCGATCAGGCGACGACCACCGTCAATCCAACGATCGCAGCGGCAGCTACGACGTTGACCGTAGCCCCCCTCCCCACAGGCATTCCTGCTCGGATTTACCCGCAGGACCAGCTCAACTCCGAAACTGATCTACAAGGCTATACGTTGATCAGCATTCTGTTTAATCAAGAGTTGAACTGGCCGTTCGTTGTTAACAATCAGGTTTCTTCCAGTCAGATCTTTGCATACGTTCCTGTGATTATCTCAACTGCACTAGGCATCCCTGGTATGCTTCTCGTTCTCTCCACGATTGAATGATACTTATCCGTTTTCAAATTGCAGCGAACCAAGTCAAAACGTGGGCCTTGCAGGTCTACGTGCCCACCACCTACCAAACCGCCGCTGACCAATCTGTTCTTGGCACCATGTGGCTAGGCTACATCCCCTCCGACATGGTCGACACCCTCGCGGCCGAAATTAAAGCTAAACAATCGGCGTTCTATACGGCAGTACCTGACACCGTCGCACAGGCCCTAGCAGCGCACGTTAACACCGGGTTCTCCATCACCTCCGTCCCAGATCCCAACCTCTCACCTAGCTCGTCCTCCTCGTCTTCAGGCGCTGGGGCGGTTGGATCCGCGTCGACCGAGGGCAAGGCGAGGCAAGATGCGATTATAGGTGTGGTCAGCGCCCTTGGGGCCATTGCTGTTCTGGTGCTCGTGTTCCTTGTGTATCGGTCGATGAAACGCCGCAAGCAGCTTGCGCATCGGAGGTTGTCGGATCCCCCTGATGCGGTTGTTGAAGGCTCTAGGCCGGAGGGGAGGGAGTTTGATCAGGATAGTGTTGGGGGTGCGAGGAGACGGAGCTTTTATTATGCTGAGGATTCATTGAGGGGGTATGCGGAGAGGAATGAGGATGCTGTTGGTCCTTCTGCTGCTTCTGCGAACCCGCAGATAACGCAGAGGAGGAACGTGATTCCTGCTGCGATTTCGGCGCCGATTTTGAGGGAGAGCAGTATGAATTGGTAGTTCGTTGGTAGGTTTTTTATTATTTCTTCTTCTTCTTACCCTTACGAGCGAGCTCGGGTTGTTGTTCTTTCTTTTCCTTCTTTTTCTTGACTTTTTGCAATTTTTTTTGCATACGACGATCTATGTTGCTGTTGCTGTGGACCTTTTGCTGGGTCGCTCCCCCCCGCTTTTCTTTTGCGATGGCATTCATGACCTACCTCCTCCCATGTCATTTGCAGTAGTTTTTTATTCTATTTATTCGAATATATACCTTGCTTCATTAATCCCCTTAGAATTACTTTCCTTTGTTCCACAATATTGGGCTGAGGTGTTCCTTTTTCTTCTTCTGTGGGTGAGCAGTCATTTCCTTGATAAGAAAAATATAGATTAACTAGTTGACAATTGCTCTCCTGTAGGCTTTTGTGACCTGGATCAGTCTCTGAGGTGTTCAATCCATACCTAATTTGAGTGCAAAAAGAGTAGACCATGGCAGGCTCCTGAAAGCAGCTACTTGTATCACCTTGATGAGCCTCTACATACATACCAGTGTTACAAATGTTACAATAAGACACCTGCCTATGTTTACTAAGACATCTAGACTAAGGTAAAGGTATACCTTGACAGATCAGTGAATGAAGGTAGCAAATGTGTAACGAAGCTGAGGGAGGATGGCCTGCAGCAGATTGAGTTGCAGATGAAAGGTAGAGTGGTTGTGCTAAGAAGAATTATGTAAAGTCTCTGTATTCCAGTGTTCAAACATTTTGACAGTCAAGAACAAGGTGCAGCATCAGGTAAGATCCCTGGGTTGACCAGGCCATTGTAAGGGAGGCGGAAGTGGAGTGTGCGAATTTGAGGGAGGGTACAGGGTCAGATACAGATAGGTTGGATCACCCTTGGCATGACACTTTGACATCACATGAAACCTCAAAGGCCAATTCTTGGCAAGGAAGAATTGGCCTTCGGGGTTGTAAGCACTCATGGCACTCCCGACTAAATCCTAATTAAGAATGCCATTGGGGGACAGATCTCAGTGTCCCAGCACTATTGAGTGCCCAGCGCTATTTATTGTCCCAGCACTCCCAAGTGCTCGACACTACACAGTGACAATCAGACTGTCAGCGTGTACGTGCCATAAATATGCCAGTGATTTTACCAATTATAGTGTATTCTGTAAATGTCAGACTCAAAAAAAAATGATGATTTCAATTTTTCCAAGCTGACAGTGGAGCTGTACAGTAAAACTGGGTGTATCAAACTGTCCCATTGGTGTGGCATTGGAAAGACTTGAACTGTCCAGTCACTGGACTGGTGCCCACTGGACCTGACTACAAATCAGGCATACACTAGCAGGCTCATTGGTGACAGTATCAGAAAAAACCAATCCTGCCACTGGGCTCACCATGCCACCCTGCCCCAGATGCATTGTCACAACCATACTCTTGTCACTGCTAAAGCTGGCCCCAGCAGTGGCAGTGGAGTGATGAGTGACCAGTTCTCTCCCTCGCCCCACCAAGGCAGACCACGTCAAGCAGATGGTAGGAAGAAACCAACACTTGACTGTCCCCTCTCCGGCACCCATTTACCCCACCAATAGCAAACCGTGCATGAAATTTTGGGATGTGGTAAGCGAGAGGATCTTTGTCATTGCCATACTACTAGAGCCCCTTCGACGACAGCTCATTTGCAGCAGCAGCTAGCACCACCGTCTACGATGATAAGTCATTCGTGGTGCTGGCTATTGCCAGCAAGTCCCTCACCACATCGTACATCCTGATTGCACTAGTCCCTACCACCTTTTATGATAAACTACAGTCAATTGCCTGCACAGCAATTTGATCATTGCCTAGCTTTTTATGAAATGAAATACATAAGGCAAACCTTATGAAATGCATCTCATTTCTTCCCAAGGCTTTATATCATTGCAATTTCATTTCTATTTCATTCCTCCCCAGGATTCCATTTCATTTTTTTCCCCCATTTTATTTCATTTCTGCCCAGCACTATTTTTCATTGTGATATTTTGGGGATTTCATTTCTGCCTAGCACTATTTTTCATTGTGATATTTTGGTATTTCATTTTTGCCCAGCACTATTTTTCATTGTGATATTTTTGGTATTTCATTTCTGCCTAGCACTATTTTTCATTGCGATATTTTGGTATTTGGTATTTCATTCCTGTCTAGCACTATTTTTCATTGCAATATTTTGGTATTTCATTTCTGCCTAGCATCATTTTTCATTGCAATATTTTGGTATTTCATTCCTCTCTGGCTCTGTTTTTCATTGCTTGCCTAGGGTAGGGATGATGACACCTGGCAGGGTCCTGGGAGGGTAGTCACATGACCAATTACCAAAAATGGTCAAAAATGAAAGTTATAGCCTTACACTGTAGCTTCCCAAATCTGTTCAAATTATATTCTGAAGTGCTCCCATTGTGGAGATATGAGGTAAAGGATTTTCAAAAGCATCGCGTTTTTTTTTTTTTTTGCATTTTTTTCCATGAAAACAAAACCAAACAACATGATTTCAGTATATTTAGAAAGCTGAAAGGAAGGGCTACAATTATTGTTCCATGGGAAAAATGACCAAAAAAGGAAGGTGCATGCCCTAGAAAAGAAATTGATACTGACAGACTATAAAGAGTCTACCATAGACTACAAAGGTTACTGATAAACTACAAATGACTACAAAAGTTGGACTTAGACTACAAAAGCTTGGACTTAGACTACAAAGTTAGGGTTAGGGTTGAAAGCTTATCCAAACTACAAAGTTTGTAGTGTCTGCCTTTCATCATTACAAATTTTGTAGTGTTCATTTTTTCCTTGGAAAGGTTTGTAGTGTCTGCATTTTGGCACTACAAAAGTTTGTAGTATCTGCTTTTTGAAACTACAAAAGTTTGTAGTATATGCTTTTTGAGATTACAAAGGTTTGTAGTGTGCGCTGTTTCATTAGAAAAATTTGTAGTATCTGTTTTTTGAGACTACAAAGGTTTGTAGTGTGCGCTTTTTCATAAGAAAAGTTTGTAGTATCCACTTTTGGAGACTACAAAGGCTTGTCCCCTTTTAAAGACTACAAAAGTTTGTAGTTGACATTTAGTTCATGGTGTCCTTGGCTCTGTCCAGGTCATGGGGATGAGGTTGAAGGATTAACATATTGCAATGAAAAATGATGCTAGGCAGAAATGAAATACCAAATACCAAAATATCGCAATGAAAAATAGTGCTAGGCAGAAATGAAATACCAAAAATATCGCAATGAAAAATAGTGCTGGGCAAAAATGAAATACCAAAATATTGCAATGAAAAATAGTGCTAGGCAGAAATGAAATATCAAAAATATTGCAATGAAAAATAGTGCTAGGCAGAAATGAAATACCAAAATATTGCAATGAAAACTAGTGCTAGGTAGAAATGAAATCCCCAAAATATTGCAATGAAAAATAGTGCTGGACAGAAATGAAATCCCCAAAATATTGCAATGAAAAATAGTGCTGGACAGAAATGAAATAAAGTGGGGGAAAAAAATGAAATGGAATCCTGGGGAGGAATGAAATAGAAATGAAATTGCAATGATATAAAGCCTTGGGAAGAAATGAGATGCATTTCATAAGGTTTGCCTTATGTATTTCATTTCATAAAAAGCTAGGCAATGATCAAATCACTGTGCAGGCAATTGACTGTAGTTTATCATAAAAGTGGTAGGGACCACTCCTGATTGCCCACACACCAAACACCACTGCTGCAATAAGCCCAATGGTTTGGAAGACATGATTGACAATGTTGCTCCAAGTGAACACCCAAACAGTTGTCTTAGTCACCATAGAATGGTTTTTATGCTTCTCTGAAATGATACTGCCCTCCGAGTTGAAACCCTGCTGTGCACTAAAAAGTGCGTGGTTAGCAGTGCTTGAGTTTGATGGTTTCTCAAGGTCCAGGGTGGGGGTTTCCGAATGTGTGGTTGGACAGGTGAAATGACTGATTGGAGAATAACTGATGTTGATGAGCACCAGCCGGTGGGGAGTCCCAGGCCGGGATACATGCTGGTGTGGAGAACTGTCACTGCAATGAAACTTGTACTGGTGGTTGGCGGCAGTACTTATCAGTCCCCCACAGAATCCTGCAGGACTCACAGGATTCCTGAGGATTCCTGCAGGACTACACCATAATTTTGGCAAATTTGAGATTTAGGAGAAAAATTCTGTCAAGTCCTCAGGATTCCTGAGGACTACATGACATTTAACCATGTGTGACATGTTTAAACACTTCCTCTAACTTCCTTAATGAACTTAACTCTATTTCCATCCTTAAAGCATTCAGATATCAATACATAGTAGAATTTTATTCTATTTTAAATGACATGAAAATTACTTTACAAGTATACTAAAGGGAGGGGGGAAGGAGGGACAGACAGGAAGGGGGGTACAGACAGGGGTGGGAAGGAGGACAGGAAAGGGAGAACAGACAGGAAGGGAGACAGAGA